GGGATAGGTATGACGGCGACTGGGTCCACGACGAGTTTCACGGCGTCGGCACGTATACGTGGCGGCCAGGCAGCTCCCTCCAAGAGGCGTACGAGGGCGAGTGGCACAAGGGCATTCGCCACGGCCGAGGCGCGTATACGTACGTGGACGGCACGGTCTACGACGGCGACTGGGTGTCTGGGAAGCGACATGGCCACGGCCGGTACCTCTGGCCCAACGGCGACTACTACGACGGCGCCTTTGACGACGAGACGCAGCATGGAGACGGTGTCTTCCAGGCACACGTACTACGATGCATCGATGGCATACGTGACGACAGCGTTCATGTAGGGCGGGGACCGGTACGAAGGTGCGTGGGATCGCAACGTCCGGTCCGGCGCCGGGCGCATCGTGTACGCAGATGGAAATGTGTTTGTCGGCAGCTTCTCCAGTGGGCAACGCCACGGTCCCGGCACCATGACGTACGCGGATGGAAATGTCTACGCGGGTCTCTGGCTCCACGACGAACGCCAAGGCGGCGGCGTCTATACGTACCACGCGACGCCCACCGACACGCTGCGCCTCCGTGTCTTTGGCGTCTAGTCGCAGGTATAGACTTCCTCTCGTAAACACATGTTTGGCATTTGTCCATGGAATACGCGTCGCATCGGCTGGATTTTTGACGTCCCAACGACTAGAATGTTGTAGCTCTATTCCCTTCATCTAGCCCTAGCCCGCACCCAGGGATGAATACCAGGTACCCCTAGCCCGCGCTCTGGTCACCACCGACGGCAACGGTTCCTTTTGTATGTGTCTATCGGATCATGCGACGTGTTGTCTGCATGAACCAGCGTGGTTGGTCAAGTTGTCATCGTGTTGTTGGTCGAATAGTCTTGTGGTTATGTATTCACGTTGCTCATTGCGTTTTAAGTATACACACGCAGTACGTTCGTGTCCGTTTTCGCATCTCAGAGACCGAGAATGTCGTCCATGAGGCTCTCTTCTTCATTGCTAAGGACGCTCGGGACGGGCCGTGGCGTCCACTCCATCGCCCTTGCGTCGTCGTCGGCCTTGCCGCCGGCCACTGGCGCGCTCGAGAGCGTGCGCCGGGACGCCGTCATCTCGGGGCCACCGAGCCCGAGGCTTTCCGCCGGTGTCGGAGGCGAGTTGACCGTCGCCGGTCGGCCGTCAGAGATCTCGACGTCCACAAAGTTTTTTTCCAGCTCCTTGAGTGTCGCGGGCTTGACATCGCCGAGGCGCTGGAGCACGCGGCTCTTGCCAATGAGGCGCTGGCTGCAGAGCGCAACGTCCATGGCGGCGCGTCGGACCTTCTCGTTCGAGTGCGCGAGGGCCTTGGCGACGGCACCGAGCACGAGGGACGCGTGCAGCTGCAGCGCACCGGCGTCGGCGTCGGTCGTCAAGCCAAACTCGGGCACGAGGAGGCGAAGCACATGCATTTGAACTAGAGCGTCCGTCTCCTTATGAAAGACGCACGCAATGGCTCCTTGCATCGTATGCACATTGAGGCGCGCGAGCTTGAGAAGGCAGCGGCAACTGCCTTTCGACGTCCGGTTGTTGGGCTTTTGCATGCCTCGGAGCAGGCGGCCAATGCACTGCAAGGTCAAGTCCTTGACAAGCGTATCGCGCCAGTCGATGTGCGGGCCATAGATCTTGATGAGCGTTGAGAAGAGGTCGATAGCGCCATTGATGACCGGTGCGATCGAGTCATAGAGGCAGTGATGCACGACGGCGGCATAGCCCACAAAGTGACCTTGGGTCGGGCTGCCCGCGGTGGGCTTGACGTCGCGGAGGTCCGACTTGCTTTCATCGACGGCCTTTTCAATGTCGCTTAGTGCCTCTTTCCGGTCGCTCCACGTCTTGCTCTCGAGCTTGCGCCACGCAACAGGCCCGACGACGGTCTCGGCGGTGCCCATGGCCGCGGCCACCATCGCCAGCACGGCTGCATCGTCTTCCCGGGGCACCTCGATGAGCACGGGCTCAGGCTCGGCTTGCTGATTGTTGTTGTTGCTCGCATTGTTGCCGATCGTGGGTGCCGACGGCACCTCGGCCGCCGCGTGGTTGTTGCTTGGCCCTTCTGCCTTGATTTCGTCGACGCGGCGTGAAAGCACCTTGAGCATCGCGGGCTTGACGCCGACGAGCCCCTCGAGCGTGGCTTTAGAGTCGGGCGACCGCACGATGGCCGTGGCCGCAATGTCCAACGCCAGCTTGCGCGTCTTTTCATCGACGATTTTGAGGGCGGGGATCGTCCAGCCGAGCACGCGCTCGGTCGTGAGCGCGTCGCTAAAGCCGAGGTCGACCACCATGTCGTGAATGAGTTCGAGGCGCGGGCGGTCCAGTGGCTCGGCCTCGAACGTGGCCATGAGCAGCGACAGCGCCGGGAGCTTGGGCGCTTTGAGCAGCCGCAAAATACCATGCAGCGCCTCGCGCTGCGTGCGCTTGTTCGAGTCGTTGAGCTTTACGAGGAGCGACTGTAGTAATGTCTGCAGCTGCGGATGCACGGACGCAAACCGCTTGGGCTTGGCGCTCACGAGCGGCGCAAAGGCGGCGAGGACGTGCGTGAGGCACTCGAGCGCGCAGTACATGACGGGCGCGACGCGGTCGACGATGCCGCAGTTGATGGCCGCCAGCGCAGCACTCAGCGTCGACGCCGGTGCCGCCGCGTCGAGCTTCTTGACAAAGATGCCAATTGCGTCAAACCCATCTTGACGGTCGCCCCACGGGTCGGCGCCAAGTAGCCGCGCGACGCGTTCCCCAAACGTTGACGTGATGGCGGCACCGGCGTCAAAAGGCGGTGCTTCAAGCGACGACGACGTCTCGGCAGCCAGCGTCGGTCCGCTCTTCTCAGGCGGCGGCGCCTCGCCCATCGAAGCGGATGCGAGAATCGGCGCGTTCTCGTGGAACGACGGCGCGCGGGTCTTCTTGGCCTTGACCACAGGCGCCACGTCTATGTTGGGGCTGTCGCCACCCGGGATGCTGGTGCGCTTGGCAGGCGATCCCATCGCTCGCTTCGCAGGCGAGGCCAATGGGCGGGACAAGGGCGATGTCGGCGCCGCCGTCGACCGCTTCATGGGTGAGCCTATCGGCCGCTTGGCCGGCGACGTCGGTGCCCGTTTCATGGGCGAAGCCGGCGCCTGTTTGATCGGCGACGGTGGTGCGTCGTCGGCGAACGGCCGGGGCACCGATGCGTCCTGCTGCGGCTGGGCCACCAGCGACGGCTCAATTGGAGCTTTTCCCACGATGACGAGGTCGGCGAGCACATCGGCGGGCGGCTCATTGTTGGAGGTCGCGTCTTCCGTGGACGACGTAAGGTGGTCCTCGTCGCCCTTGGAGTCGATCTCCGAGTCGTGGTGCTCAATGTCACCGTCGTCGTCGTCGTCTTCGTCGTCGGCGGCGAGCGACAAGGCGCTGCCTTGGTTGGTCAGCGCGTTCGCCGCGTCCTTTGGCTGTTTGCGTCCGAGGCTGCTCGAGATCTTGGACTTGAGGCGGCCCATGACGCCTTTCTTGGCCTCGGTTCCGACCGGCATCGATGTCGTCGCGACCGCCTCCGAATTGGCACTGAGAGCGGCCGAAACCCACGCCGTCGCTCTCGAAATAGCCATCAACCCCCGCCAACGTTCGTTTATTTTAAACACACAACCCGAGCCCTACTACGTCGTCTCGTTGAAGTTATCGTCTACGGCGACGAGCCGAGGCCAATGCCAACGAGCCCACTCCCGGTAGCGAGGACGCACGACGTCCCGAGCGCATCGAGGGCAAACCCTGGGTCGCATTGGCACTTGCCCGGGCCGGACGGAAACGAGTTGGGTGGACACAGCGACGTGCACACACCGTTGTCGAGGAGGTAGCCGTCGTCGCACTCGCAGGCGCCGGCGTTCGTGAGCGACGCGTGGGCGTGGGCAGGGCACATGTCGACATGCGCCATCGTTGCAACGGCCGGTGCAGCGTCGGCAGGTGGCAACGGTGCTGCCTCCACCGGTGCGACACTGACAGACGCAACGGCCACCGGTGCCGGTTCCACCGACTTGGGCTCGGCGTGGGCCTTGGCACTGCTAATCTTGATACCAATCGACTTTTTCGCTAGAGACAGAACGACGCTAGTCGACCCCAACACAGCAATCGACACTTGTACCTTTGCGAGGCTTGGGCGCTTCGGACGCCGCCTGCGTGCACGCCGTGTTGTGGGCGCCACGATCCCCCACAAAACCAACGAGACACTCGCCACACGTGTTGGTGACGGCAAGGCACTAGGCGTAGCAGAGTTACAGCATGCAAGCGCAGAAAAGCTCGTACCGGTTCACGGCCAAGCGCGTCGCAGGCCGGCGCGTAGGCACAGTCGACTTCTTCGAGAATCAACGGCGGTGGGCCGTGCGTCGGCACTACATTGTCGACCCGGAGCAGCGGCCCCAGTACGCCGTAGCTGCCGAGCGTCTCGGTTTGAATGTAGATATCGTAGAGCGTGCCTTCCGCGAGACCATCGAGGAGCAGCGTGGCCTCGAGCATCGACGCGTTCGAGAGGAGATGGGTCTTGGTGCGGTCGGTCGTCGGCGTCGCACCCTTGAGCGCGGGAGAGTAGTATACGATCCCCACCGTGTTGAGCACGATGCGCACATTGAGGGCGTCGTTGCGGGCGTCGGTGGCCGAAACGTTGACTTGGTCGACGACCGGTGCCACGTCCGACGACTTGATCGCATCGAGGCGGGCGACGGTGCCGTAGACACCGTCGCTGCCGGCGGTCTCGGTTACGAGCAGCACGTCGTACGTCTGGTTGGCCAACGGCACATCGACGTCAAACGTACCAGCGTCGCCGAGCAAGCTCTTTTGCGCCACAATGGTGTGGTCCAAGCCCAGCACGTTGCCATAGACGACGTCGGGCGCCGTGGGCCGCCAGCGCGACGCCATGGTGACCAGACAGTGGAGCACGCCGTAGGTGTTGAGCTTGTACTGCACTCGCAGCTGGGACGTGGACGCTGGCGTCGGCGCCGCCTCGTGGGCGAGGAGCAACGGCGCGTGGCCAAAGGTCGAGATGTTGCGGAGCACGGTGATGGGGCCGTAGATACCCGCGTCGCCCTTCGTCTCGACGACCAAGTGTAGCGAGTAGTTGGTGTTTTGAACTAAGAGCTGGAGCAGCTCGGTGTGCACCGTCGTGGACGCTGGCACCGACCGACGCCACTTGACCTTTTCGAACCCGTACCGGTGCCAGTCGTCGTTCGACCCGCGCGGTTTCTTGGCGCTCACGTTATAGACGGACGCGACCTCAATGTGCTCGCTGTCGTCGCTGACCATGAAGTGCACAATGCCCGGCGCCGACAAGGCAAAGCTGAGCTCGAGTTCGGTCGTCGACGCCGATTTGGGCTTGGCGGCGACGGTTGTGAACCGCGGGGCCGGCGGGTGCGTGCGCACAGACGTTTGGCGCCACGGCGACACGACGCCGAAGCTACCGACTGTCTCGGTTGCAATGTACACGTCGTACGACGTATTGGGCGAGAGCAACAGTCCGTTCTCCAGAAAGAGCACATGGTCTTTCACCTCGCGCTGCGGCGCGGCCACGGCATGCGTCTCGTTGAGGAGCACGCAGCGCGGGTTGGTCATCGCGCAGTTGGCGGGCGTCACCAGCGTATGTACAATCGCGCCGCCCTCGGCGCCATCGAAATCGACAACGACGTCGATCCCTGTCGTGTTGCCGTACGTCGGCTCGGCCCGGTACGCCCGAAGCCGCGGCGCCGACGCATGGGTCGTCACTGCGACCACGGTCGTCGCGTTCCCGTTGGCGTTGATTCTGGAGAAGACACCGCCACTGCCCTGCGTCTCGGCGGCGAAAAACGCGTGGTACGATGCATGTGGCTCCAAGTCGCGGACGTCCGCGTGGTAGGTGACGACGACGGCGTCACGATCGTCGCTTGCCACGGTCGTCGACAATTGCATGCGCCCAGCGGCCACGATGCCCGGCTGGCCAGGCGCGACGCGGTGGAAAGGTGTGTCCCGCGGCAGGTGCAGCTCCGATCGGCCACCAAAGGCGTCGCTGGTCAAGACAAAGTACGGATCCCGGCCGCAGTCGCCAAGGCACGTCATTTTCCACGTCAAAAGCACACCGTTCGTCGTTGCATTGACGGGCGCCGCCGTGAGTTCATCGTACGCGAGGGAGAGGTTGGTGTAGTCGGCGTGCGTGCGCACAGGCGCGCACACGACGGCGGCAAAGACACCTTCGCTCGCGTCCGTTTCGGGCACGGCGCAGAGCTCGTAGAGGGACCCGGGCCGCAGAGAGGTGAAGGTTTTGGACGCGCCATGGTCCGCATGCTTTTGCCACTCGTCGCGGGACACGGCGATCGTGCCATTGTCGACAACGCCGACACCAAGACGATCCAGCGTCGCCGCCTTGATGTCAGCGGCGGTCAGCGTTGCAACCTCCACTGCACTTGTCGGGCACGTCTCGTTGGCAGGAATCTCGGTGGCATTGCGCGTGTCTTGCACGACGTAGAGCCCTCGGTGCAGCAGGATGTAGTGCACGTTTCCGAACGACGAGAGGCCAAACGAGAGCTCGATCGAGGTTGCGACGCCTTGCGCCGGCGTCACGCGCAGCACGTCAAACGTCGGCGGCGGCGCATGCGTCGTGACGACGTGGGGCGGCGGCAGTCCGACGCCAAAGACACCGTCGGAATCGAATGTCTCGGTCGCCAAGTAGACATGGTACAAGGTCGCGCTGGCGAGCGTCGGGAGCGTCACCGTATTGTTGTAGACGTCGAGGGGATGCCACTCGGTGACGTTGACACCGTCGACGGTCGCATTGCGCGCTTCGTAGATGCGCTCGGTGACATCAAAGAACCCTCGGCGAACGTTCGGCTGCACAACATCGCTCGTGCGCAGGACGAGCGGGTCGTCGAAAGCAATGTCGCTCACCATGTAGTGGACCCGCCCGGGCGACGAGAGGTTGGCCGTCATGACGATCGCATCGATCGACGCGTTGGCGGGAAGCACCGTCGACTGCAGAATCGTTGGGGCACGCGCATACGTCGTGAGGTTTTGAACGACGACGGCGTCGCTAAAGACCGCCGACGACGCGTTGCCCGCATAGGCGGACTCGAGCAGCACGAGCAGCGAGTATGACGTGTTGGGCAGCAAGTTGTCCAAGACGAGCGACGTCCGCGCGTGGCGTGGCAGCTCGACGCGCCGCGTGGCGTGTGAAAGTAGTGCCTCTCTCGACGGTAGCGTCCAGCCATCGACCTCGGCCGTCGGCACGATCAGCGAATGCACAAAGCCGACTCCCGTGGTTGTGATGCTCGCGTCGAGTAGCGACGCGACGCCCGGGCGGTGTCGCAGCGTCACCGTCTCGACGCTTGGTGCCGCCGCGTGTGTGCGAAGCGGCGCCAGATCCACGCGGTTGCTCTCGACGCCGTGGGCCGTGACTGCGTGCACGGACACATCGTAGAGCGTGTCGGCCGAGAGGTTTCCAAGGACGCCATTTGGCGGCAGCTCGGTGCAATGGGCCGTACGATTGGTCTCGCTCGTGTAGCAGACAACGAGCTGGTCGCGGCGATCCGACGACGAGGCGTGCACCTCAAGTTGCGACGTCGAGCCGAGCACGGGACCCGAATGTGCCACGGTGACGTCGCCCGCCGGCTCGTGCGTGCGCGCCTCGACGGTGGGAAAGGGCGTGCTGTAGACGCCGTGGCTGTGGCTCGTCTCGGCCAAGACGAGGAGACCGTGGATGGTTGCCGCCTCCAACCCCCCGACGGCCACTTGCATTGTATACGACAGGTTGGCGTGCGTCTGCACGTCGAGCAGCGCGCCCATCGGCGAACTGACGTTACTGGAAGCGTGCAACGTAATGTGCCGAAACGAAGCGTTGTACGTGGTGAGGTACGTCGATAGCTGCGACGAGAGTGCCATTGGCACTTCGCGAAACGCGCGCGGCAGGCCAACGATGACATGGACGTCCGCGATGCGGTCGAGCGTCACGGTAGCGACCAACACGTCCGTGGTCGTGTTTTGAGCCGTGACGACGACGGCGTCGACGCTTGGCGCCGCGGCATGCGTCGCACATGTGGTCGTTGTCGTCACGGCGTTGCTGAAGACACCGTCGCTCTGCATCGTCTCGAGCACGAACGCAAGCGTATACGGTGTCCCGACGCCGAGCGACGAGACGTTTACAGCCACGTCCACCGTCGTCGCCGTCGCCGATACCAGCACTGCCGCATCGGTCGGCTGCGTCGGCAGCGAGAACGCCACCGTACCCACCTGCTGCTGGGTCGTCGTGTTGACAGCGGATGTGATCGCGCGACCGTCTGGAAACGCAGCCTCGTCGTCCGTGAACGCGACGTAGTGGATGTGGTACTGCAGCGCCTTGCGCGACGCCTTTACGTTGTTGCTCTCAAAGGCGTGGCGCGGAAACTCGAGGCGGAAGGCCACTTGGACGCTCGTGGTCGAAGCGTCCAGCGGCGCGCACGCAAGGCGTCCGAGCGTTGGCGCGACTGCAAACGTCGTGAACGCGTGTTCAATGTACCCCGGTGCACCGAGGACGCCGTGGCTGCCGTCGACTTCCGCGACGTACCATACGTCGTACGTGGTGAACGGCGTCAAGTGCGTTATGTTGACAAGCGTCCCGTTGGCAATGTGGGCGCTGCGCGTGGCGCCAGTGACGTTGTGCCAAATGTCGAGCGACGAGAGGTTCTGGCTCGCCTCGATCGGAACGACGACGTAGTGCAAGAGCCCCGGAAACGTCACGTTGACCGAGAGCGCGGCCATGGTCGTCGTCGCATGCTGTGCCCAGTGGTCGAGGACGCGCACGAGCGGTGCCTCCGGGTGCGTCGTTGTGCCGTTGACCGACACGACCTACTCGTACGATATGTCAAAAGGGCAAACTCAAGTGCAATCTGGCACCGTGCCAAAGACGCCGTTGCTCTTGGACACTTCCGCGACAAAGTACACGTCGTACGAGACGTTGGGCGTGAGCGACGAGACGGACCAACGCAAGCGCTGCGCCGTCTCCGAAACGATCGTGCTGGCGACGACGACGCCATATGCAGACGCGTTGCCGACGGCCGCGGCCTTGATGTCGTCGGCGATCAGTGCGTCGCGACCGGATTCGACAATGGCATAATGCAAGTCGGCCGGTGCCGTGAGGTAGAAGGCGAGCGCCAGCGCTCCCGCGGTGCCGTTGAGCACCTCGACGTGCCCTGTCGAGAGCAGCTCCCTGCGTGCGACTACGCAACGTAGTCCGATTTTGGAGACGGTCCATGTGTCAAGAATGGCAACCCACCTGTCATTGTCGTCTTGGCGTGCACGCCGAGCGCGAGCAGCCATGCGCACAGCACGGCTACCAGTGTTCGCATCACTACCCGCCGCACGATCCACAGCCAATTGAGATCTGGTTGCGATCTTTCTGAAAGGCCAGCGATCTTGCATCGACAGTCACCAGATGTCGGGCCTTCGAGAAACCCGACACCACGAGCTGAGCCCACGTGCAGGTCGCCGACCCACCACAGCGCTTCCACCCCTCCATTGGTAGCACTAGCCGCACGTACCACCACCGATGCGTCAAAAGCTGTTGCGCGACTCGCTGCAAGTTGAGCCCAGGATATGCCAGTCCATCCTCGTCCCGGGTTGCATGCCTACCGCCAAGCTATGGACCACGAAGAGCACAACCGGTGCCTTTGGTCTCGGCGACGGTCGCTGCATTGGCCGGCGCGCCTCGTCCCACGGCGCCGGTGGCAGGCGCTTGCGGCTCTGGGTCGTCCGACTGATTTCTTGTGGCCATTCATGTGGTGTTTCCCGATCTTGCATATGTGGCGTAAAATAGTATACAAGGTATTTATTGTATAGCTTTGGTTTTGTATGGGACGCAAGGTTTACATCAAAATATAAAAAGCAGGCGGTATTGTATTGACCGGTGCATTTCCAAAATTGCCATCAAACGGAGACGAACTGACATGGCGCTGGAACTCGTCCTCGGTGCGTTCAACGAGCGTGCGCTCAAGTGCGTGATCGCGCTCAAGGAGACGGCGACGGCGTTCGAGCTCCGGAAGGCGCCGACGCCGTCCACGACGCCCAAGCTCGTGACGCCCGAAGGCCGCACGATCAACACGGCCAACAGCATCTGCCGGTACATCTCGGCGTCGTCGGGCCGCCTCGCCTTTGACGACCTCGCGGTCGACGACTACGTCGAGTGGGAAGAGCGTGTGCTCCGCGTTTCGGCGGCGGGCAGCGACAAGGCGGCGCTCGCGGCCTTGATTGAGGCCAAGATCCGCTCCGCGACGTTCCTCGTCGGGTCGGCCATCACGCTTGCCGACATTGTCGTCGCGCCCGTCTTGCGCAAGGCGCTCGAGGCGCTGCCGGCGGCCACGTACCCGCTCGCGACCGCGCGCGCGTACGTTGCGGCCTTTTCGGCCTTGCCTCGGCGGTCGCTGCCGACGTTTTTGTCGCCAACGGCGGCCAGGCGCCACGCAGCACGGTGCCGTTGACGCCGGCCATGGCGTCGGGCACGACGTTCGACCACCTCCTCGGCATTGTCGAGAGCCTCTTTGAAGACGCGATCCGCGCCGCGTACCCGGGCGTGCTCTCGGAACATGCGATTGCGCTCGACGTGGCCCGCACCAAGACGGCCAAGTTTGGCGACTACCAGTGCAACAACGCGATGAACATCTTTACGGCGCTCAAGGGCACGCCGGGCGCCCCTGGTAGCCCGCGGGATGTGGCCAACGCGATCCTGGCGGCCATGCCAGTCAACCCGGTGCTCGAGAAGCTCTCGGTCGCAGGGCCCGGCTTCATCAACGCGTTCCTTCGTCCGAACTTTATCGGCTCGCGCCTCTCGACGCTCCTCACGCAGGGCGTGCACGCGAGCCCGGGCAAGAAGCTCAAGATCGTGGTCGACTTTTCGTCACCGAACATCGCCAAGGACATGCATGTGGGCCACCTTCGGTCGACGATCATCGGCGATGCCATGTGCCGTATCCTCGAGTTCCAAGGCCACGAGGTGCTCCGCATCAACCACGTCGGCGACTGGGGCACCCAGTTTGGCATGCTCATCTGCCACCTCATGGACGTCTTCCCGACGTGGCAAGAAGAAATGCCCGACATCACGGACCTCACGCAGCTCTACAAGAACGCCAAGCAGCGTTTCGATGAAGACGAGGCCTTCCACAAGCGCTCCAAGGATCAGGTCGTGCTTCTCCAGTCGGGCGACGAGCAGTCGCGCAAGGTCTGGATCACGCTCTGCGACATCTCGCGCCGCGAGTTCCAGAAGGTCTACGACCGCCTCGACGTGAGTTTGAACGAGATGGGCGAGTCGTTTTACAACCCGATCATCCCGAACGTCATCAAGATGCTCGAAGACAAGAAGATTACGGAGGACAGCAACGGCGCCAAGGTCATCTTTACGACCAAGTACAAGCAGCCGTTCATGCTCGTCAAGACGGACGGCTCGTACCTCTACGACACGACCGATATCGCCGCGCTCTGGTACCGCCTCCACGAGCAAAAGGCCGACTGGATCATCATCTACACGGACTACACGCAGCAGGATCACTTTGGCTTGCTCTTTGAGGTCGGCGCCATGTCGGGCATTCTGGACCCGACCAAGCACCGTGTCAACCATGTCGGCTTTGGCACCGTCAACGACGAGACGGGCAAGCGCTTCAAGACGCGGTCGGGCGAGACCGTTCGCCTCGTCAACCTCCTCGACGAGAGTAAGACGCGCATGAAGGAGCAGCTCCTCGCGCGTATCGCGGCCGGCCAGACGTCGCTGCCCGCGTCCGAGGTCGACGCGGCTGCCGAGCGCATTGGCTACGGCGCGGTCAAGTACTTTGATCTGAGCCAGAGCCCGACGACGTCGTATGAGTTTAGCTACGACAAGATGCTCTCGACGACCGGCAACACGGCGGTCTACCTCCTCTTTGCGTACGCGCGCCTCTCGTCGATCGTGCGCAAGAGTGGCGTCGACGTCGCGGCCTTGAGCCCGAGCATCCTCGCGCTCACCGACGCCCACGAGAGTGCGCTCGCGATCGAATTGCTCCAGTTCCAGGACGTGGTCACGCAGATCAACAAGGACCTGGGCTCGAACCGCCTCTGCACGTACCTCTACAACGTGGCCGAGAAGGTCCAGCTCTTTGTCACCAAGTGCCGCGTGCTTGGCGTGCCGGAGCAGAACTCGCGCCTCCTCCTCTGCCAAGCGACGCTCAAGGTCATGCAAACGTGCTTTCAGATGCTCGGCATTGAGCCCCTCGACCAGATTTAAATCCAATCCCATGTTGCATTGGCTCGATACAACTTGACAGCGTTTCAGTGTCGGCGCATGGAGAAGCTCACGGGACACTGCCTCGGCGGCCGAGCGACGGCCCGCGACAGAGGTGCGCCATACAGTGCATTACCACGGTGGATGTCATAAAACCAGCAAAAAAGGGCCCATGCGCCCAGCCACCGAGCTGGCCCCAAGCTGGCGCGTTGTCGATCGAAGCGCATGAACAACGTGGCATCACACCGTGTCGTGGCGTCCGGAAGGTGTCTCGAGCGTTTACAGCCCATAGACCGTGTCCTCATCACACTCTCTACACTGACGCCGGTCGGGATATGAGCTGGCGTCTTTGGCGCGGGATGGGTATTAGAACGCTTTGGTGCCAGTACCAGGTGTATTGAAAATATTTCTTTCATGGAAGGCAGTGGCGTGGTCGTGGAGCAGCCTCGATGGCGAGTGTCGTCGGTCGCTGGCCAGCAACTCGTACCGTACTAAGCCAGCATGGTAGTGAACATTTTTTCGTCCCTGCAGGGGACTCTACCGGGGTGGCGAGAGGTGCTGGCTATCAGGTGGGGCTAGGGCTAGGGTGCCACCGCGCTGCCCAACGTCGTCCGACGATGCGGACGTACATTGCTGGCTCCATTCAAAGTGGCATTGCATACCGGTGATCACTCGAGGGCTCGGACGCTGCTGCTAGTGCCACGATATCCAGCTGGGCTATCGGCATGCAGCGTGTTGGTGCACTCGTCCGTCTGCACGAGACTCACGGTAAGAAGGACGAAGAAGTAAAGCATTAAAATAGGATTATGTGGAAGGTCGCGCGATGCACGTATCTCACGCGACTTCCCAGTGCGGTGACGCGAGCGTCGTGCTCGTAAAGCTGTCGAGGAGCTTCCGGTCCACCGAGAGCCGTCGGCGCTTGAGCACGGCGAGGGTCGCATCGATCTGAATGCCCCACTGCAGCGCTTCGTTGGCGACGAGCTGCGACAGAAACTGGTTGAGCATCACCTTGCGCTCTGAAATTGTGTCGGTCGAGAGGTTGCAGAGCCACCGGCGCTTGGGCAGGCTCGGCAGACGCGCGTTGCTTGTGCGCTTGAGGCCGTGGCGCAATATCCTACACATCAAATCTGAGCCACTTGCTGTGTGAAAACCAACACGAACCGAAATTCCCGGAAGCGCTTCCAGCACACGACGAGGCCCTTGGGCGTCGAGATCTCAATTTCGTATTCGACAAACGGCGCCTTCTCGGTTGCGAGCACCATGGTCCGGTGGCCGACGATGCGCGCGGCGACAATGTCGAGCTCCAGTGCCAGATGGTCGATAGCGGCGAGAATGCAGAATGAAGCGTGTGCTGCAAGAACCAAGGCCCTTTCTACGCCGGCGCGCTGTGATATGCTGCTGGCCTCTTCTCCGGTCCGTACTGTGACAATGCATTTACGCGCAATTTACATGTGGCGTTGCAGGCTCATCCGATATCCTATGTATTTTATAAAACCTCTCACAACCGATAGCCTGTCCAAAATGTATGTGGTCGGTAGGGTTGCCCTGCGACTTGCCCCACAAAACGACGCTTCCACATGCAAGGATAACGCAGTCGGCTTCGAGTTAGATGGGTGCTCAATGCACCGATTGGTCCAATGGCGCGTGTCCACGGCGCCGAATCTGGCATTGTGGGCGACCAATGGTGCCCGAGTGCGATCTGCTGCGTGCCTGCGTGTGCTTGCGTCCATGTCAGTTGCCAGATCTGGAGTTGGGTTCCTGCGACAGTCTCGCCTGATCTGTCCAGATACGTGGTTTCAAAGGTTGACATCGCGAATATGATTGGCTAAAACGCAAGCCTATACGCATCTCTCATTGGTTCAAAAACGACCAAACCCAGCGCCACGATTGGTGCCATTGGAGCCACACTAATCAGCGAACGATGGCCGAGCCGACCGCGCCCGTCGACGTCGCGGCCTTGAAGGGCAAGAAGTGGCTGTACGTGGACGGCCAAGGCGCGCAGGAAGGGTCCGCTGGACGAGCAGGTGCTTAAGCGCTTGCTTCGGCGCGGCCTCGTGACCGGCGACAGCTACGTCTGGTCGCCCGAGCTGGCCGAGCTCCTGCCGACGTGGCAGCTGGCCAAGGAGACGCTCGTCTTTGGCACGACGTGCGTGCTGTGGCAGACGCTGCCGCAGTGGTACTACTATGACCAGGCCAAACAACAGAAAGGGCCCGTGACGACCGCAGATCTCTCGACGCTCTTTCTGGACGGCGACATTGATGGCCTCACGCTGGTCTGGAGCAGCGCGCAGCTCGTGCCAGCGTGGACGCCGATGGGTCAAGTCGATGTACTCAAGGAAGTTCTCCAAGAAATCAACGACGAAGTCGAGCGGAAAGAAGCACTCTTGGCGACCGAGAAGAAGCTCGACCCGTCGTCGCTCGTCATGGACGGCAGCGCGGCGGCGCGCACGTCGTTCCTTGCCGACGACGGCAAAGAGTTTATCTACGACAGCGAGATGCGCAAGTGGCTCACGCCCGAAGAGAAGATTGAGGAGGAACTTGCCATGCTCCGCGACGAAGTCGACGACGTCAAGGCGTCCAACGAGTTGTTTGACGACGAAAAGCCCGTCGTGCCGCCCGCAGCGACAACGACCAACGACGACGATGCTGCTGCCACGAAGAAGCGTAAGAAGAAGAGCAAGTCCAAGAAGAACAAGTGGGTCGCATCCAAGCAGAAGACGTGGATCTACATCAACGGCCTGCCCCTCGATGCGACGGTCCATGAAGTCCACGACCACTTTGCCAAGTGTGGTGTCATTCAGCGCGACCTCGAGACGGACGAGCCCAAGATCAAATTGTACCGCAACAAGGATTCCGGCGCGTTGAACGTACGTACCTATCGTACGACCACGCCACCCGGACGCGTGCTCGTAGGGGGACGCGGCGGTCTGTTTCATGAAGGAACCATCGGTCGAGCTCGCCATCCAGCTCCTCGATAAGGTCGACTTGCGCCCCAAGTACGTCGTCTCTGCTTGTCGCATCATCGGCTATTGACGATAATGATACTAATGTAGCTGGCCGCTCGACGTCAAGGTGGCCGAGTTTGCGCAAAAGGGCGACGCATTCGTCCCGCGCAAGAAGGCCAAGCTCGACAGCCGCGCCAAGGTCAAGAAATTTCAGATGGAACAAGCGCTCTCGTGGGGCGCGGCCGACGAGGACGAAGGCCTCCGCATTGTTGTGCTCAAGCACATGTTTACGCCCGCCGACTTTGACGGTCTCTACCTATTTGCTTGATATAAATGGTGGCTGACGTTGAAATGCCGTGTAGATGTCGAGGCAGGCAACGAGCTCAAGGACGACATCAAGGCCGAGTGCGAGACCCTTGGCGACGTGACCAAAATTACCTTTTTCGAGCAGCACCCGCTCGGCGTCGTCCAGGTCAAGTACGCGCTGCCCGAGAACGCACAGTCGTGCATTGAGCGCATGCACGGCCGCTTCTTTAGCGGCCGAAAGATCGAGTGCGCGTACTGGGACGGCACCAACTACACGGTGCGCGAGTCCCAGGACGAAGAGATCAAGCGCACGGAAGAGTTTGGCGCGTGGCTCGAAGAAGGCTCGAGCTCCGATGACGACGACGACGACGACGAGGGTTCCGACCAGGAGAACGCAGCGCCCCCCGCACGACCCCACGCCGGTCGCGTCTTGCCCGATTCGGACGACGAAGATGATGCGATGCCCATGCACGCCGGTCGCGTCTTGCCGCCGATGGAGGACGAGGACGAGGACGACGCCATGCCGATGCATGCTGGTCGCGTGCTCCCTCCGATGGACGATGATTAACACGGCCTTTTCCTCGTGTTTCTGCCTGTCCAGTGTCGCAATTTCAGTGTTGCTACTGAGAGTTTGTGGCGGTCGATGTACCAAGTATGGACCTACCTGGCTCAAGGGGTGCGCTTGAAGGGACACTTGTGGAGCAGCTTGTGAAGTGGGGAGATGACAATAACTCATGACGTCTTTCGTACTATAGCCTCAATCGCTGCATCCATGAATATCGCCGAGTACGGGTTTCGACCCTTACTACTCTCCACGATCTCCAAGACATGCGTATCTTGACGGTGGGCTACAGAGCATGTATTCGTGGTAGTTAAAGCACTTCGCGCTCGACGTGGCGACCGGAAAACTTGCACGGGCGCGACGAAATGTCGCGTTTCGCGCAGCACGACCACGAGTAGCCTTCCAGCGGGTACTGGCGCGGGAGGTACCGGCCGGGATGGTACACGCAGCTCTGCGCCGTGTTCTTCTCGAGCGTAAAGGTCTCGTGGCAATTCTTGCAGACGCGGGGTTTCTTGAGCACGTCAATCTCTTCCTCGACTTCGCGCCGTAGTCTACATGGGACCTGTCGAGGACTTATAGGAAGAGTGTCTTGTGTACTTTTCTTTCTCTTCGCGTTTCCAGGACGCGTCGCTCTGGACCTTCTTGAGGTAGTCGCCGTGGACGTCGAGGAGCTGGTGCTGCAAGCGTGCGTTCTCTGAGACCAAGTCTTCAATGTGCTTGGACGACGACGCGTTCATTTCGCGTAGGCACTTGATCTCTGTGTCGTTCATACTCAGCGTGTGCTCACAGTCCTTTTCCTGTTTGTTGTGCTCGCTCGTGAGCCGGCGAAGGTCCTTGTTGAGCGTTTGGAGGTCGATAATGTCCTTCTTGAGCATCGCGACTTCGCTTTTGAGGTCCGTATTGTCCGAACGAAGCTCCTAATGCATGCATTGAGGCATGGAATGGGAGATGGTTCCATGGCTCGACCTCCAGCGTGCGTTCGCGCGTCCGGAGCTTGTAGTGGAGGGTTTCATTCTCCTTCTCGAGCTCGAGCGACCGCACCTTGGTTTTCTACCGAGAGCGAGTTCGATCCTCGACGCATACATGTATGTGCATGGGCGCACCTCACTGAGCTCTCTATTCAAGTGGGTGGAACTGAGTGGGACGTCGTTCGGACGGCGGAAACGTACCGGTTGAGGTCGGCGACTTCGGCCACCGATCGAATTTCTTTTGGATGCGCGAGTTTTGGCTTCGCGTCGAGTCCCACGCTGTCTCGACCGACTAGCACATACGGTTGGTTCGCCGCGAATGGCGACGGATTCCACGATGCACCTCGAGCTTGAGGGTGAGGCGCTTGCACTCGTCCGACTTCTTCTCCGCGATCGTCTAGTCATCGTGATAAAGTAGCACGTACTAATTGATACACAATACCTCGGCCGTTGTGAGACGTGCCTTGAGGTCCTGGACCTGCGAGAAGAGGTCGGCTTTGCGGTTCTTGAGCTCGAGAATCTCAATGCGCATCCTGCACGCGCATGACCACATGCAAAATGGCGCCGATGTACATTTGAAGGCGGCTTTCGTTGGTCGAGAGCTTGAACTTGGAGTCGTCAAGGTTCTTGAGCAAGAGGTTCGACGACTAATACAGGCGGGTCGTTCTGCGTGGCGCCTACGATGGACAAGAGATTGGCCTACCGATGCATCGAGCTTGGTCGTCGTGAGCTCCGCTTTGAGACGTTTGTTTTCCTTTTCGAGAAAGCAAATCTGCTCCACCGCCTGGTCATAGCCCATGAGCTCTTGCACATACACATAAAGACGACGAACCTCTTCTAGCTTTTCGCGGTACTGGCGCAACGACGACGAGAGCTCAATGCGCTCCTTCTCATCGAGACTACACGCGCGTGATCCATGGAAGGTCATCATGCAACGCATGATGCAACGCACCGCCGCGACGAGCTGGAGCTGGCCACGATGTCGTCCGAGATCTCCTTGTAGCGCTCGAGCTCGCGCAGCTTGGCGACGGTCTTGGCGTTCGAGACGCGCAGGTCGTGGTACTCGGTCAGGAGGCTCTGGTACTTGTCCTCGGAGCTCTTGGTCTTCTTCTTTAGGAGCTCTTCCTCGATGCTCCACGCCTTCTTGGGCCACACGACGCTCATCTTGCTGCTGCTGCCTGTCTCCTATCTGACGAGCTCTGCTGAAAAGCACTGGGTCCATTGCAGCTTTGGTCAAGTCTATTTTTAGATTGCGTATTTTTATTTCAAAAATGACGTGGCACAAAAGATGGCCTCCAACCCCAAACCGCTCGCTATTTCCAGCGCTCACAAAGGCGCCAACATCCTATGGCAGAACCACGGGGCAGCACTGGCCCTGCGGCAACTTGTCCCAGTGGCTCACACGTGCGTGGTGTTGACCATGGTACATGCTGGGGAACCGAGTGTTCCAGGAACATTCGCGGAGTGGTCAATTATGGTCATCACCACGAGTACCTGGTAGGAAGCCAGTATGTAATAGCTTAGTGGTGTTTTTCTGCTGTTGTCGCCGTGACCAAGCTGTTCCCAGGCGACTTGGTGCCTGCCATGCCCACGCGATGCCACGTCAACCCAGCACATCCTACGAGGTCCATGGAGGCTTGCGAATGTTATTTCGTACGGTCGCCGTCCTTCGTGGTGCTCTTGGTGCACGTACGTTGCTATGAACGTGGAAAGGATCGATCGCCGAAGGCGGACGGGGGCATGGGATGCGGGTGTTTCGTCACGACTGGTACACTGGCTGGCGCTCCGACGCCAGACGTTGTTGCTGGACCAGAGACGATTAGTGGCATGCAGCGACTCGCCTCTCCGATCGAGTGCCAAGGTGTCGCCGACAGGAGATACCATCGAGGCATTCTCTATTAGTCGTAGTATCGTCGAAGCGCACGAGTTAGTTGAGCCCGCGTTGAGGCAGGAGAGCCACGATCAGCGTATCCGGATGCGACGCGCGCATCGTGCATACTCAACCCAAGTTTTGTATGTGCAAACTATCCAGTCCGTATCCGGACAAGAGACGCTCCAGGCCAGTATTGAGCAACTCGCCCCATGGACACCGGCAACGAAGCGGCGGCGACCGCGGAGGCCGAGATGCTGCGCACGCAAAGCACCTTCCAGCATGGCGACGCGGCTTCTATGGAGCCCACCTATGGCGACGCGCAACTCGCTGAGAGCTCGAGCGAAGGCGAAGACGACGACGAGAGCAACAACCACCTGTACATGAGTCTCGGTGCACAGTACGGCATGGAGTTCAAGCTCGCGCGGAAGCAGAAGGAGCGGGCCTCTATGAATGCGATTCTGAACCGGCACAAGATGAACCACTCGTTCGGCGCGGGCGACGACCACATCAATGGCGTCTCGCTTGGGCCGGCGCGCCACTCGATGGGCCACGAGATGGGCGACTACGCGCGCATGGACCGCGTGAGCAACTACAGCGCCGTCTCGACCGTTCGGCAGTCCATGTGCATGATGCCCGTCATGGAGTCGTTGCCCGAGCGCGACGGTTCGGATGATATCCTCGAAGACTTTGACGGCTGGATGCACAAGAAGGGCCAGCGCTTCAAGAGCTGGAAACTCCGGTACTTTCAGCTGTCGCAAAAGGAGATCAAGTACAGCACCGAGCCAGGCGGCAAGCACAAGGGCGGCGGCGTCGTCCTCGGTGTCGAGTACCTCAAGAGCGTGCCCTTTGGTCTCACAATCCGACTTGCACCCAACCGCGCGCTGTACGTCTACGCCGAGTCAACGGATGAGCAAGTAGCATGGTACAAACGACTCTCGCGTGCAGGAAACGCACCAATGCCGCAGACAAGAGGACCGACCGTTCAGCTTCAAGCCCGATACTCCCGGTCATCGTGGGCGTCGCCCGTTGACTCGCTGCCCGAGCCGATCCATGTGCCCATCGAGCTGCCACACGTGCAGTACGAGCCGCCTCCTGCGCAGTGCACGTCTCCTGAAGGGCAATTTGAACCTCCCCAAGTGCAATATGAACTGCTTCAAGTGCAATATGAGCCTCCGCAAGTGCAACCTCAAGGCGTGGACGCCTCTTGCAGCGACGCGTCGCCGCAAGACGAAGAAGACGCGCCTGCCGCCGTCGACGATGCGTCGCGGGACGACGCTGTTATGCCCCAGAAACAATCGATTACGCTCGGATCGATGCCACAAGTGTCGTCCAACGTCTCGTCGACGTCGTCGGAGCGTCGCATGAGCCACGCGAGGTCATCGGCCGTGCATCGCTTATCGCAAATCAGCAACCACAGCGGTAGCATTCGTCTCGGTGGCAACGACGCCGATGCGATGGTAGAAGGCTGGCTCTTCAAGCAAGGTCGCATTGTTAAAAGCTGGAAACAGCGGTACTTTCGGCTCCTCGACCACACGCTCAGCTACCGCGAGACACCCGCGTCGACGCACCTCCTCGGCCACGGTCGCGTCGTCGGCGTCGAGCGAAGCAACACGACGCACACGTTTGGCCTCACCATCTCCCTCGACGGGAACCGGACGCTGCACGTGTACGCCGAGAATGAAATCGAGATGCGCAAGTGGCTCCGCGCGCTCACAGCACTCGTACAAGCCATACCACGCACAACTGGCGAGACGCTTTTCAAGCAGTCGCGGACCCACGGCGCGTTCCTCAAGAACTTTTCGGGCTGGATGTCGATTCCGTCCGGCTTGTTCAACGCGTCGCTCAAGCGCTGCTTCTTTACGCTCCATGGTGCCGAGCTCACGCAGTCGGACGACGCGCCTGCCCTCGTGACGCGCACCGATACCATCCACCACGTCGTCGCGTGGTCGGGGAAACCCAATGGACTCGAGTTCCACATGCGCAGCAACAAGGTCTGGAAGACCGTGTGTCCATCGCAGTCGGCTGCCGCGGCGTGGCTCGCAGCCATCAACGACAACCTCAAGCGACAAGACTTTACGGTCGAGCGCTTCCTCAAGCGCTGCGTCGTGAAGGAGCTGCCGACCATCATGTGCGGCTGGGCGACGCAGATCAACAACACGCCGCGAGGCAAAGGCATCCGACAGTTCTATGTCTTTGACACGCTGCATCTGAGCGTTGCTTGTGACGTGGATGCAATTGTGCAGCCGATCGATGTCATCACGCGCGTGACGCCGTCGTCGGTCGACTGCGCGTTTGAAGTACACTTTGTGTCCGAGCCAATGCTCGTGCTGCAGTGCGACTCGGTCGACGGCCTCCGAAATTGGCACCTTGTGATCCGCACGTGCTTGAAGGAGCCCATCCGACAGTCGTTCCGGTGTCCATAGTCGTAATGACATTAAACTATATACATACGTGCCGGCGTCAACTCCGTGCTCCAGGCCCGCGTGCAGTGCTCTGGCGATTTGTGGTGTACGGAGATCACCATTCCGCCGACGTGAAGGACCATCATTTCCTGTTTCCTCAATTGGGATTGGTTCGTAAACGACCAATCAAAAGGCGTCATGCCACTAGCCCACTACAATCCGCTCATTTTGACATTATTGTACCATCGATGGACGCGGTGCTCCGTGACCCGGTGCTGGTCGGCCTCATCGTTGTGTACCAGCATGGCTGGTGGCGCGATAGCTTTGTCTTCCGCGATGACCCGCTGCTGTTTGCATCGGGCGACTTGGAGCACCACGTCGCTGGCTTTGGCGAGCGCTTCGCGCCGTGGCTCGCACGGCGTGGCCTCGATGGCGCCATGCATCTCATGCACATCTACCCACCGCTCGTTCCGTGCATTGCACTACATGCAGCGGCAACTGGCGACCACCCGCTGGGCGTTGCCGCCATTGGCAGTAGCAACGACATCTCGCGTTGGGCGACGTTCATGAGCCATGTCGCAACTCACTTTGGTCATTGCGACCTCTTTGCAAGCAACGGCATTCCAGTCACGACAAAAGGAGCGCTCACAAGTGGCAACGTGGCGCTCATGCGACAGCTCTACGAAGAGCGCGGGTCCGACGACTTAAAGCGGTACGTCGAGGATGCGGTATGTTCCGGGCACCTCGCCATCGTTCGCTTCCTTCACGAGGAGACGACTGTGACGTGGCCTTGGAATACATTGGACTTGGCGATGCAGCGTGGGCATCACGACATCGCGGCGTACTTAAAAGAGCGTGGCCACCGAACCTCGAGCGAGATGGGCGGTATTTTGGAGACGGACAGCCCCCTCGACGTGGCGACCAAGCTACACGAAGAGAATCCCACCATGAACCTCGAGTTCATGCTGGAAGAAGCCGCGTCGAATGGCCATTGCGACGTGATCGAGTTCATCTTGGCCACGGGGGCGATGTGCACACCTGCCGCGCTGCAAGCGGCGGCGCGGCGAGGTCATCTCGCGTGCTGTCAAATGCTACTGACGCACGACCGCAAGAGCAGTCCTACGCGTATGCTACCCGTCTCGGTCATGGTCGCTGCCGTCGCGGGCGGGAACGATGCAATCATCTCGCTGCTACATTCCAATCAGATTTGGTCGCACGAGTACATGAACACCTGTGCGAGCGTCGGCCGACTGGACCTCGTGAAAATGCTGCACAATGCCGGGCACTTTACTTGCTCGAAAGCTGCGATGGACTGCGCGGCAGCCAACGGCCACGTTGCCGTCGTGGCTTTTCTGCACGAACACCGAGACGAAGGCTGCTCGGTGAGCGCGGTCGACAATGCAGCGGGCAACAATCATTTGGACGCCGTTATGTACCTCCATGCGACGGTCGGCGCCAAAGCCTCTTGCTATGCGATCGCGTGGGCAGCCATGGGCGGTCATGATCGCGTAGTGCGGTATCTGTATGAAGCTATGAAGGCACCCGTGCTCGACGATGTACCCGAGCGTGCGGCCCGAGGCGGTCACTTGTCGGTCGTGCGGTATCTCCACGAGCAAGGTCTTGGCCAATGGACGCCGCGCGTGATGGATCTGGCGGCCAAGTCGGGAAACCACGCGCTCGTCGCGTTTCTGCATGCGCACCGGACCGAAGGCTGCACACGCACTGCCGTTGACGAAGCGGTTGTCCAAGGGGATGTGGCGATGGTGCGGTTGTTGCTCGAGGTGGTCAATGCGACAATGTGTTCGCCGGTGGCGATGCGGCAAGGCAGCGCAGACGTGCTCGTCTACTTGGCCAGTCTTGGGGTCGATGTCGTGGGTCCGCTACGTGCGAGCGCCCCTCGATTTGTCGCGCTCGTCGAGTACTTGGAGCACAAACAAGCGTGGCGACGACCGATCAAGAAACAACGTACCAAAGGTCAAATGCATTAAAGATTAAAAAAGCATAGCAGTAGTGTCGTAGCAACGCTGTTGAAGCAAGCGATCGATGGTACCCTGTGTAGAATATAATACTAGTCCATTTGGCTGTCGTTGACATCTCGCAGGAATGGATGCTGCATTGCCGCGCCGTGTCACTCGTCAACGACATGGCTGCTAGGTTTAGCATAGGTTTTGGTATATCGTCCACATGCTCGCCTCGAGGGCTTAACTACCAGAAGTAGCGATCCAGCCGACAACTTCGTCGATAGCTCTTGTTTTACGTTCTCAAATCGAGTTTCAAATGAAAGCGCGTACGCCAGATGTCGTCACTTTGATTTCGCAAGCGCGCGGACGGCGTCGAGACCGATGCGGATCGTCTCCTTCTCCGAGACGTCCTTGTCTTGCCAAATGCCGAGCGAGAGGCGGCTCACGATTTCAAGCACTTCCACGAGGACGAGCCACTGGTTATCGGCGTTGTTGCAGTCCTTCATGCCGCTAAAGCATTGCAGCAGCGCCTAGAGACAAATATTTAGCGTTCGATCATCGCGGATGCCTCGATCGTCGCGCACCGTGTTGAATAGAGCTTCGTGCTCGTCACTGTCGCCCGTGCAGAAAATACCGCTGTCTTGGACCAGCGACCTATCCATGCTGCGCGTGACGAGACGGCGACGGCACGGGACGCGCGCACCGCAGGTCGTTGGCGTTCAGATGCGTGCCGGGAACCTTGTCGCTACGCGCACGTGTCCTTACTGCTGGGCACCGCAAGTGTCCATGTACCTAGTGGCCGTCGCGTACTTGTCGTAGACTTTGAGTAGTTTGGGTCGCGCGTCTTGAAAGAGCGCGAGGATGCTCTAGGCATTCTGACGTGAGACTGCGTTTCTGGCCGTCGACCGTCGTACGTACATCGGCATGCACGGTATCCCGAAACGGGCCTGTTGTCAAGCGCAGGACGGCCGGCTTGACATGGTCCCGCAGACTCTTTTCAAGGGCCGGGACGAACGGTGTGTCGTCACCATACATCTTGTTGTAGGCAAGGATGACGCGCAGCAGTGCTTGGATGAACCCGACGCGGGGCAACGAGGGTGCGTCCAGCCCAAGGCTCGTCACGACGGTTTGAAAGATCTTGTCGATGACGTTGTGGTCCTTCTGGAAGTGGAGCATGGTCGACTCGTGCACAAAATGCACAAATTCAAGCAGGCTCATGCTATGTCACACGCCAATACAACGTGGTGTGAACGAAGCGATGGATCTGTACCTGTACAGGTCGTCGCCAAACCCGATGCTGTAGTGCTTGTAAATGATATTGACCGCGTCGTAGTACTTGAGCAGCGTCTCTTCGACATCGTCCTAGCCATCGAACCATGAGGCGTACAGGAGAATGAAGCGTCTGGACGTACGCGGTCTTTTGCTTCCTTGACAAACTCGTCGAGTTGCAGATGTGGCAGGTCGTGGTAGAACGCAGCCTCGATTTCCTCTTGCGAGATAAACTGCCCCGACCGAACGTGTGCGGCCTGGTGCGCGGTGGCGTAGCCATTGATGGCGTCTGGCGCGTCGCGTGGGGACGGTCGTTTCGCAGCCCCTCCGTCGATGTTGTCGTCGTCGTTTGGCGCCTTCTCCGACTCTTGGTTGCTCGCATTGGAGAACGCCGAGGTAGCCCACTCGGTCATGAGCGGGACGCCGATCTCATCGACGGGGACTTCGTGCTACCGTCGTTGCCTGAGGTCCAAACGGTCACATGGAATCGTACCTGGAGGACCACAGTGATGATTTCGTTCTCACGGCAACAGTCCGAGATACGCGACCATGGGCTCAGTACCACGCCATCCGACTAGCAGTCATCAGTCACGGCCAAAGCGCATTTAGCAAGTCGTTGTTGTACATTTTTGACCTCGCGCGGGAGGTAAAAGCCTTGCTTGGCGTGCGCGTCTTCGCGGGTGCGGCAGCGGCCGTGCGGCAGCATGAGTGCGTAGCGCTGGGCAGCCACGAGGCCGAGCCACTTGATGCACTGATGGCCTTCGCCGCAGGCCACCGTGAACGTGAGCCCGTGCACGGCGAGCGTGAGTTGCATCTTTTGAAATGAAACCTTTGGGCCGTTTGGCTCGAATCGCTTTTGATTGGCTAAAATGCAATAGCCAATCGTTACGTCGTATTCTATCATTTTCAAAGATGCGAGCAGCGCTCTTCCTCCCGAGCGCCAATTGGTACTGCTCCCAGGTAGACGACGACGAGATGCAGGGCCCGAGGAAGACGCTCCTCATGACGTAGCTCTGTGCATGGGGCGTCCCCCGCGATGGGTCGGGAAGCGTCTACTTTGCCTATGGCTGCAAGTCCCATGTCGCGATCTACGAGGTACACGACGATGCTGGCGACGTCGTCGCATGCTCATGCCCATGTAGATGCTCCTAACGAACGAGGTACCAAAGGCAGCTACTCTGCGCATGCAGGAAGAAGCGCTCGTTGTAGAACGCCCTTGGCGAGCCCCGGTTCTACGCAGACGTGCCCCGCGGGAAGCATGACAAGCGTGTGACGTCGGTCGTCTTCCTCCATGGAGCCAACGATGAGCTCCTCTTGGCATGCGCGGGAGAAGAAGGCTCGATCCAACTTTGGTATCAATCATTGGTGCTAGGATCGCGGGTTGAGAAAGGAACATGTAGGGACGTTGCCAAGCGGGAAATGATCGACCGCCAGCGAAAGCACAAGACCGAAATCATGGCCATCGCAAGCGCCGAGGGCCACACAATCGTTGCGGGCGACCGCAACGGCGTCCTGAGCGTCTGGCACCGCGACACGTACGACATGCATGATCTGGCAGGCGAGAACCTCATGTACCTGTTGTAGTGGCATCGCGACGCTGGCCACGCCGATCGCTGGCGACTGCATCTACTGTCTTCACGTCGCCGGTGGACAGGTACTACACTAGTTTGGATTCCCGACGTGCCGTCTCATGCGTGCATGTACGGAGTAGGTTGCCATTGGCTATCGGAGCGGCAAAGTGATCCTCTGGGATTTGCACCACGGCGCAATCACGACGCGCCTCAAAGGTCTCGAAATGCCACGTTGCGCGCTTTATCACGTGTGAGCTAGGTCATGAAGAGGAAGTGCACGCTGTCTCGTGGTTTACCGCGGCCGATGGCAAGCTCTTGCTTGCAACGTCGTCGCGCGACAAGAAGCTGTGCGTCTATGACGGCGACAATGTCATCATGGAAAGTCAACTGCCCAAGCCAAAGAAAGCCATAAGTGCGCACCAGCTCGGACGTCTCTGGTTCACGCACGCGTGGATCCCAGGCGCGGAGGCCGATGCTGTGCGTCTCGTGACGAGCTCGTACAACGGCGAGCTCTACAGTTGGGAGTGGTACACACCAATGAGGCGAATAAATTCAAGTCCCATGTCTCTGAATGCGTGTAGGTCCCTCTCGAAGAAGCGCCCCAAGCTCAGCGTGGCGCCGACGATCGTCAAGCAAGGCCACACACGCCCCATTTTCAACATTGCCGCGCTCTCGCTCAGCCCTGCGAGTACGTACATCATCACCGTCTCGATGGACCGCGACGTGCGCGTGCTCCATGCGCCCTCGATGACATCGCACAGCAAGCTCGCAGGTCTCGGTGGTCACGTCTACACGCTTCAGCTCAACGCCAGCGGTGTCTTGGCTGCGGGGATTGGCGACAACACTATTCGCTTGGTCCGGGATGTGCAATCGCCGCAGACGACGTGCGACCTGGTGTGGAAAGGCCTCCAAAGCAAGGTCACGGCATTGGCATGGCATCCGATTAGCCCCACGATCCTTGCGTATGGCTGTGAAGACGGCGCTGTTGGCTACTACGACACTTCTTCGCACCAGCACACCCGTTTCAAGGCATACCAAAAAGGCATGATTCACCAAGTTGCTTGGCGCGCTCCGGCGACGATGGATGCCGCACCGGTACGTCGTATGTCGATGAATGCAAGTATTGAATTCATGTTTGATAGGAACAAGATTGGCTGGTAGCGCTCGAGGCGGTCGAACACGGCGAGCGTGACGTAATGGAGGCTACGGTTGCAAGCCCTTCGAGCTCGGCACTTCAGCTTTGGATTTGCGCTGGCGACGGGACGCTGACGGTCGCCAACCCAGAGAAGTCCGATGCGCCGATGAAGGCTGTGAACAAGCGCTGGGGTGTCCACAATGTCACGAGCTTTGCGTGGCAGCCAGACTCGGTCACTTGCGCCGTCGGGACCAAGGACGGGATCGTGCATCTCGTCGTCAACGATGACAAAGCGCACCAGTACATGGACCACAGCAAAACCGTATCGTGCGTTAAGTGGTGCCGGTCCACGCTCGTGACGGCGTCGTACGATGGCTCGGTACGCAGCAATGGAACCAAGCAACACTTGACAAGCTTCTGGTTAGGTGTGCGTGTATGATTTTACAAGTGAGCGTCCCCAGGCGCCGGCGCGCGTCTTTAAGGGTCATGCGACGGGCGTCACGTGCATTGCGTGGTCGCCGTCGACAGAGTACCTGGCGTCGGCATCGATGGATGGCACCGTGCAAGTGTGGCCGCAAAGCGGCGACCGCGGCTTCAACTTTCGGGGACATACGGGCCGCGTCTTGACAGTTGCGTGGGTCGACGACGAGACTCTTGTGAGTGCTGGCGAAGACCAGTCGATCCGCGCGTGGGCGTACGCTGACCAGGTACACAAGGCATTTTCACGTTATATGTCCTGACGAAGTGCTATCGTTGTATTTGTAGACATGCACTCTTCCGCCCAAGAGCAAAGACGACTCGGCGCCGGCTCCAGCTCCCGTCGTCACGAGTAAAAAGGCGGTACCCAAGCAGCCCAAGACGCTAGCCGCCGTGGCTGGTTTGCTGCCAAAAGCCGATACCAACGTCGAAAGTGTTGTGAAAATGCTCGATCCGCCCGCGAGTGTCGCTATGCTGGACGACGCACATGCGCAGTACATGGCGGTGTGTCGTTTTGGAAAGCGTTTTTCGTGTGTGTCACACGACGTGCTGTGTAGACGGGCGACTGGGAACGCGCGGCAAGACTGCTCGTGCTCCACGGACGCATTGGTGATGCCCTGCGCCTTGTCGCAAAAGAAGGTAGTCGTCGACGTCCACCATGATGGCGCGAGAGCTCACTTGTATAATGCATGCAGGAAAGCTCAGCTCCGTCTGGCTGGCCTACGCGCCAATGGCCGGTAGCGACGTGTGGCGCGAGTTTACATTCTTGTACGCCAAGCAGCTCCGCAATGCCCGCGCCTTTCAGGACGCAGGTGCACTCGTACAGCAGTCTCTCGTCAAGGCTAAATCCATTTGCTAGCGTTGCACTACACGTCGGTCGGGGACGTCCACACAGCGATCGAGTGTCTCTGTGACGGTCAGTTGTGGCGCGAAGCCCTCGCCCTCGTGCATCTGCGCTGTTCTCCGTTCGATCCAGTGCGAACCGCCACGTACGAAGCTCTGGCGAGCCACTTGCAAGCAACGTACGCAGTCGAGAATGCAAATGCATGTGTGCACAGCTATGATAGACACGCGGTCGAAGAAGCGGGACATGTGTACGTGCACCTGGACCAGCCGGACCAAGCTCTCGCTTGCTTCCTCAAGGCCGCGTCGCCATCTTCGTTTGATGCAGCTGCGCGTCTCCCGCTGTCCAACTCGGTGGCCCTCGACTTGGCCAACCGAGCGATGGTGCTTGGATTCGACTCGGCCGTAGCGATCCTTTTGGCGGCGCTGCCGCCCGAGTCAGACCCCGCCGCGCATCTCTTTTTGGCGTTCTACCTGCGCTCAAAGTCGCCACCGTCGTGCTCCGTACCTTGCTCATTTGTCCAGAATGGGTACTTAGCACGTGTGGTCTAGATGGTCTCAAACCAAGCGCTGGCCCACAGTCTCTTGGCCCAACGTCCCGAAGGCTTGCCGCCGTTGTTGACGGAGCACTTGACCGACGGCGGCTGGTTCTGGACCGCGCTCGATGCACCCGATATCGCGTCGCGGTTGCGTGACGCGGACGAGGATGAGGTGCGCGAGTCGATCGAAAAGACCTTTGGTGTCTACTTGCAGGTGCGCTTGGTTCATTTGTGCGCATGGTTTGCATCCACATGGTAGGCGGCGCCCGTTCATGGCCGCATTCTGGCACATCTCTTGCGCATTGGCACGGATGTGGCACAAGGGTGCCTTGTGAGTGCATTTGAAACGTGGAGCGCAACGTTGGCGTGGCTGCTTTCGACGACAGAGGTTCGCTTGGCGCATCAATGGTCTTCATAATCGAGTGCCTAGGGATGCGAGCTCCTCGGTGCTTTCTGCCTCGTCTTTCCTCGCGGTGTGCAACGCCAGCCCATTACCGATGGCGAGCTCGGTACGGAGCCTAGCGCTACGCAAGAGCTCTGGGCGCTCTTCTTCTTATACCAGTGCATTGCTCTCGCCCGCACCGTGCGCCTCGAGGCCGACACAGACCCGCTGGCCAGTCAAGGCTCGCTACTGTTTCTCATCCAGTGGATCAACAACGAGTTGCCGGTCGTGCAACTAGAAACCCTCGGAGCCGATGTGACCCAGCTAACGCGAACGGCGTCCAACGAGCTCTCGCTGCTGTACCACCAACTCTTGGCAACGCCTTCTGGCGAAAGCCCAGGAAGCGAAGACGTGGCCAGTGCCAGCGACCAAGACGACGAGCAAGGCTCCACACCGGACGTTGTCGACGAATAGACAAGAGTCGTGGTCGGCTCGGTAGTGTGAGCTCAAGTCGCGTGCAATGCACGAGCCCAAGTCTCTCGTGGTTTATCCAAGCGTGCGTCGCGTTGCATATACATGAAACACTCACTGCCATGTCTGAGATCTACTGGGATCAACAAAGACTGTATTACGCGGGCGACAGATGCACGGCGGAAGAGCGACGCTCGCACTCCTTGAGTATGACCGAGAGCTTGCCTGAGAGACGCTGCAAGACGTCTCGCGTGACCTCGATGATTTGGCGGTCGTCGGCTTTGGGCATGGCGTCAACGCCCTCCATGTGCTCGACGAGAGTCTCGTTGTGGCTGTCGATGAGTCCATGGACGCGGTGATGTCGGGCCATGTCTGCGAACGCCGTTGTCGTCGTCTCCATCAGCTGCAGCTTCTTCTCTTCGCTCTTCTTGCGCTTGTCGCGGATGATGACGAAGTCCATGTCGTTCCAGCTCCGGATGACGTTCTTCTTTGGCGGGTTGAGCTCCGTTCCATCGCTGGCCGTGCACAGCTGGTATCCGCAGAGCACTTCGTCGTGAACCAGCGCGCGCTTGGCCACTTGATAGAACGAGAGCATCTCATCCTTCGCGCAGTAGCGTGTGTGTGGCTCGACGGAGAAGGTACATCCGACCGTGCCAAGCAACTCGTTGATGATCTTTTTGACTTCGCGCGACTCGGAGATCATGGCCAGCATGCAAGAGACGAGCTCATTGGACTGGATGAACTCCGAGTGCATCGAGATCGTCTTGTTGCTCGCAATCGTCTTTTGCGTGCGCGGGTCGAGGATTTCTGCGATGCACGGACACGACGAATGCTTCTCGGGGCTGCCTTTCTGGATCCACTTGGCGATCGAGTCGGCGACCTCCTGTGTGAAGAGCCGCTGTTTGGCCTTGCGCCGCCGCGCTGCTTGGAGCCCGCGCAGCAAGAGCACGGTTGAGAGCGAGTGCGAGTCCGAGTGCAGAATGTCGGTTTCCCGCGCTTGGTCGCCGAGAATCATGACACTTGTGTACATCTCGAGTGGGAGCTGGTCCACGTGGCGCCGGATGGCAGTGTTGCCATACTGGTGGATCAGCGCAATGTTCTGAAGAGAGGCCAAATCCAAGCCGGCCTCGACGAGCTGCGCGTCGCGCTCTTCGATCGGGGGGTCCTCGCACAGCAAGTGCACCTCGGATCCAGGCATTGCAACGTCGTCGATGAGTTTGATCATGTCACGAATGTCGCGTCGCCACCCACACATGAGAATCTTCTCGATGTGGCGCTCCGTCACGCCGAGTGGGTAGTCGCGGCAGGACGGAATCTCGATCGGTGTCTCGCGCACCTTGTACGAGTCGTTGTCTTCGGCAAGAAAGATGATCTTTTCGCCCGCACGCATTGAGCGGCCCTTGCCCGGCTTGATGACGATGTCACCGTCAGTCGTCTCGACACCAATCGGAATCGCATCCTCAAAGTAGGCTTGTAGCCGCCCAAACGGTACGTTGACGCAGGTTGGCCACTCCTTGATGTAGAATTCGTTGCCTTCAAAGCCCAAGACGGCGCGGAAGACTAGAGGCGCAACAGGTCAGATTCGCGCGAGCCTCGAACAGTGAACCTTTGGCGAGACCCGGGGACCGCGCCGACATGATTACAAGTCGTCCAATCACGTCGTGGGACACGAGGGACTCGACCGCACCGCCACCAACAAGCGAGATGAGTGGTTCGTTGTCAATGTCACGGACTTCGGCAACAATGTGGCCGCGAAGCTAAAGTGCAATCTCAGAAATGCCAGAAATCCATCGAAAACTCATACCGAGTCAAGGCCAAGAAGAGATAAAATGATGCGCAACACCGCCGCGTCCGACTTGTCGGCGTCACCGACGGTGGCCATGATGACAATGCTTCGTGCCGTGTGCGCCGAGACTTTTTTCAAATCGACAATCAAGAGCGGGTTCCCGGTTCGAAAGACGACCTTGGTGCCGAGGAAATCATCCGGATGCATGTGCGAGTGTAGCTCGGCTTCGAGTTCCTCCTTTTCGAGTTCGGCGAGCACGACGACGACGCCGCCTTTTTCGCTTTCGTTGGCGCGACACAGCTCTTTGACGAGGTAAATGGACTTGTCGGTCCAGCCCAAGAGCAGCTACAAGAGAGCTGACGACACGACAGCGATATGCTCGCTGCGTACCGTGTGGTTCTCTTCGACGACGTTGCTCTTGCCCTTCTTGAGCGAGTCCATCTTTTCCCGGACGCTGTCAACGACGAAGCCGAGAATGACGGCAAAGAAGAGAATGCCGATAATCGAAACGATCATCGCGATTGCCCGATGGTCCTACGCATCGCGTCAACGCGGTTCATCGTACGCAGTTGGTCCGTACCCAGCTCACGGCCTCGCGCTGCGCACCTGGAAAGGTCATGTACATCCACGCCTCCCAGATCGCCTCGGGCACTGTGAGCTCGAGTTCAATCACGCTGATGAGAAGGCCGATTAGGATCGTAAACACGGTGCCAAACGAAACCAGCGTGATGGTTTGGCCTCGTCGCGTCGAAATGAACGTGTCGACTTTGTACGCCAAGAGCGCGCTCGTCGTATAGCTCGTCTGCTTCTTGACGGCTTCGGCGCCCTTGGACGTGGGCAGTGTTGGTGCATCGGTGGCGACCGCAACCTTGGCCGACTCGGTCGGCGCAAAGTATTTGATGGCCTTGGACTGCATCGTGGCGCCTCGCGCCATCCGTGCAATGCCGCGAAACACCCTACTACCGGTATTGCCGCCGTTTCCACTCGCCAATCGCTCGCGTGGCGTGGTCGCGGCTATAATTATCGTGCGAACTGGTATCACATCCCGGCCCGATCACATGACGGACAACCGCCTTAGTCTGCGGCCGGTCTCATACCGACCGTTGACAGAGTCCGTTGGCAGCATTCAAAGGCTATAAATGACGAGATTTCAATGTTTTCGAACGGGAAATGAATGCGATATTTCTGGCAAGACTTCAACGGTGGAGTCCAAGCTCGCTGCAGGAACGCACACCAAATATCGTGTTGCTGACCAATATGGCAAACCGTGTGCAACCTTTTACGACGACATTTTAGGGGGAATGGGACGTCTGCACTCCATTCGACGTCGGTGGCGCCTGCATCTGCAAGTGCTTCGCGTGAAGGCTCGTGTAGTGCTCGAGAAGTATCTCGACATCGTCGCGAAGCGCCACGAGACGCCGGCACACCTCGGGTGTGAGCTCAATATCGGCATCAAACGACGGCGGCGCCGGTAGGTGGGACGTGGACTTGGAGATGAACGATCGTTGTGTTCGAATGCGCGGCTCGGGTGGGTTTACGGCTCGGACCCCTATCGGTGGCGGGGGTGCGGCCGCCTTGAGTTGCTGCACGTTGTTTTGGCGCATTTGGTCGGTGAGCCGGTCGAGAACGGCGCTCTGAACATCCTGCTCGCGCTCCACGTCGATGGTGCCACTGACGATGACCACCAAGTCGAACTCGCTCCATCGGTGCACTAGTGCCTTGTCCTTTGGGTTGAGGACAATCCTTGATTCTACAATCGCAACTCTGGATCGCGTTCATCGTCGATGAGGTCACCTTGGTTGGTCGAGGCGTGCTTGGGCATATAGCCGACGAGGAGTTCGTTCACTGCACTGAGTCGCTTGGCGAGCTGGTAGTACGAGAGCATTTCGCTTTTGAGCAATACCGCCGGCTGTCTTGGACGGCGAACGTGTTGGACTTGGGCGATAAGAGGCGGTGGAGGATCTGCTTGACCTCGCGCGACTCGGAGATCATGGCCAGCATACACGAGATGAGTTCGTTGGACATGACAAAGTCCGAGTGCACGGCAATCCTCGCGTTGGCGACTACGGTCTTCTGGGTCCGTGGATCCAGAATTTCCGTGATGCACGGACACTTGTTGGTGACGTGGCGCGCCCACCGAGCGATCGCATCGACGATCCGAGGTCCAAAGAGGTGCTCCTTTCGCTGCTCCTTTTTATTTTTCTGCAAATTGCGCAGCAAGAGCACCTACAACCACTGATTTTAGATGTCCTAAACAGATGTTGTACAACGTACGGTCGCGAGCGAGTGCGAGTCCGAGTTCAAAATGTCGAGCTCCCGCTGGTAGTCGCAGAGCACCATGATCGACGTATACTTTTCGAGCGGAAGCGGCTCGAGGTACCGGCGCACAGACGTGTTGCCGACGTGGTGTTTCAAGATGCAGTTGTCGAACGCGTCGGCGTCAATGCCGCTTTGGGCCAAAAACACGGCGCGTTCATCGACCTAATTTCGAGAAAATATTATAAAAAATCCAATTTCCATGCAATTGGGAGACATGATGTACCGAAACTTCGCTAAGCACGTGGACTTCGCTGCCTTGGAGCAAGTAATTGTCGAGCAGCACGAGAATGTCTTGAATGTCGCGGCGCCACCCGCAGATGAGGATCGTCTCTTTCTCCATCGTGCGTGGCGGGATCGGTGGGATCGGGAGTGGCGGCACACTCACAGCCGGCGTCAGCGTGTACGAATCGTTGTCTTCCGCGAGGACGATAATCTCGTCGGTCGCTTCGAGGACATAGTAAAAGCTGGGTTTGATGACGACCTTGCCCCGGCTCGTCTTGATACCGATTGGCGTGGCGAGCGGAAAGCGCTCGATGAGATCACCGAACCGCATCCCCGCCGCGGCGGGCCACGCTTGGCAGTAGAACTCGTCCCCTTCGAAGCCCAGGAGTGCCGTGTACACTATTGTCATTTGAATCGGTGACTTTTGAAAGATCGTAGAGGGTCTACCCTTGGAGAGACCGGGGGACCGGGCCGCGAGCAAAATGAGGCGACCGATGATATCATGCGAAACGAGAGTTTCGACCAAGGTACCACCAACAAGGTGCACGAGCGGCTCGTTGTCGACGTCTCGGATCTCGGCGACCACGTGTCCTTGCAGCTAATGCAATTTGGTCCAACTGCCCACCTCGGAGAAAATGATTACCTGAAAGAGGCCGCGGAGACTGAGAATGACACGGAGGCACGCAGCGTCCGACTTGTCGGCGTCCATGGATGTCGCGAGGATCGTGATGCTGCGCGCCATTTGCGCCGACACCTTCTTCAAGTCGGCGACCACGAGCGGACTGCCCGTGCGCACGACGACCTTGGTGTGACGCAATTCATCGGGCTCGATCTGGGACGCGAGCTCGCCTTCCATAAACTCTTTGGACGCCTCGGCGAGGATGACGATGACACCGCCGCCCTCGCTCTCGTTGGCCAAGCACAGCTGCTTGACGAGCGAGATCGACTTGTCGCTCCACCCGAGAATCAACTATATTTACAGATAAACTCAATCGTCTGCTGTGCTCGAGGTAGTCGCCACGTACGCTGTGGCCAGTCTCGACCACGTTGCTCCGGCCTTTCTTGAGGTCGTCCATCTTTTCGCGGATCGAGTCGACGACGAACCCGAGGATGACGAAGAAGAAGACCATGCCGTGGACGCTGATGAGGAAGCCCGGGAGCCGGAATTTCTACATGGCCATCAGTAGAAAGCTATGCCGTCGGTGCTAAGTTTACCCATTCGTGCTGCTCGCCCTGCGCACCAGGGTCCGAAATGAAGAGCCAGCACGCCCACATGGCCTGGCCAAGACCGTGCTTGATCCCACCGTGGTGGCCTTTGACCGCCACCGTCGTGTTGTCGTCTGTCGTTGCGACCTCGTCGATCGACTCGCCGTGGTCGCCATTCGGTATGAGCGATACAAAGCATCCGCAGGTGACCGTCATAAAGACGCCAAAGCTCACGAGCATGATGGCTTGGCCGCGCTTGGTCGAGAGAAATGTGTCGACGATGTACAGAAATCGCGCTGCCGCATACCGCAGCTTGGCCACGCGCAGCTGCTGCATCCTTCAGCAATTCGTTTCACCCGAAACCATCTCGCCCCACGCTTTTGACACATAATGGATCTGTACATGGGATTCATGCCTCCAACTATCCATTGGTCATGGATCTATCCAATTACGCTGCGACGAACCAGGCTGCTTCCGCCCACAACAATCCTGCTTGATGCACCTCGATCTCTCGACAAAACTACACACAGTGCTGATACATACACACACCCTTCCATCCAGCCATCTATGCAGCCATCTATATATATATATATATATATCCAGCCATCTATCCAACTATCTATACAGTGAACGACTGTCTACATGTGAATCACCACCAAGAGCGGACTAAAGACCAATTGATTTGCTGTTTTGACGGCTCATACGAGTGCGTAATTTAGCACGATGGGCACGACGATGGCAGCGATGATGAGGAGCGCGACGGTCCCGATGAGGCATTTCTTCTGCATGTGCGCACGCTGCACCTGCCGCGTGACTTCGGCTTCGTCGACGATCGCGCCAATTTCGAGCTTGATCTCTTCGGTTTGGTTGCGGATCTGCGTGATCATGCCTGTCTGCGCCTTGACCATCGTCTCGACCGCAATGAACGCCTTGTTGACTTGGACCGCGTCCTCGGCCACCTCGAGCGCCATGTCGCGGTCCTCTTTCGCCTTTTGGAGGTCGTCCGTCGAGATGCACGCCGTCTTGATCAAGTCTACCAACGGACTGAGCCATCGAGGATCGAACACACGTATGTACCATATTCGATGACGGCTTCGTGGCGACGCGCGTAGATGCGCTCGACGTCCTGGAGCTGCTTGACGGCGTCAATGTAGCTCTTCCGGAGGTCCTTGAGCTTGGACTTGTCGGTCGTCTTGCGCCGTTTCTCGGCGTCGAGGAACGTTGCGAGCTGGCGCGCCGTGGACTTGGTGTCGGTCATCGCCGACCCCGTCTTCTCGAGGAAGGTCGCCTCGGTGCCCGCGCCTTCGAGCGAGCACTCGGCCGAGATGGCGCTCAGCGCACTCTGCATGCGCGCGACGGCGGCTTGCGCCTCGTCCAGCGTGTAGATCGCACCCTCGTCCATGGGCTGGCGAAAATAATACTTGCCGTATAAATAGACGTCTTTGCGACGTGGTCGAAGCGAACCTCTGACGTGGCACGTTGTCCGAGTTGGAGGCCAAATGACGTGGCGCTGTGCCCAGAGTCATAGGAGCTACGACCGCGTTGCAGATGGCGCGGTGAACTCGGTCGTCGACGTCTCGGGGTAGCGACGAGCCCAACATGCGCAGAAAATAGGTAGAAACGATCGAGGACATCCTTGTGAACGGCTGCAGGTGCCACTTGGCGAGCTGGGATGCTTTTTGGTTTCGGGCTTGTGTCTGGGGACTGGCGCTGTAGCTAGCGTACGAGGATGCATCGTGGTGTTGCGTCTCAAGAGCAGTTGCGCTTATCTTGATGCGCGTTCAAGACAAGACTCACGTTTCCAAATGTTAAGTCTAAAGACACTCTATGGTTTCAGCGCATGGCTTAATCTTCGTGGAAGGTCATGGAGGCCGACGCGCCCCACTTGTCGTCGTAGACCTTTTCGAACGCCGGGTACGTCTTGTTGGCGTTCTTGGGCGCCGCCGTGAAGAACTGGTCCGTGACGATGTCGACCATGCCCTCGACGAGCGTCTGGATGAGCGGCTGGAGGCGGTTGCCCGTCTGCTTGAAGTCCGGGCCGGGATTGACTTCGAGGAGCCACACTTGGTAGTCTTCGTCAATGAGAAAGTCGACGCCGTAGACCTCAAAGCAGTTGGGCAGCGGCTGGAAGACGGAGAATTCACCGCGGTACGCATCAAAGACCTCGCCGGTGATCGCGCCAATGTCGGCCAGCATCTTGGTCGTAATGGCCTTGGCCTCTGCGTGGGCGATGCCTTGGTCGTCCATGAGGATCGCTTCCATGTCCTCGAGGAGGAGAACGCAGTCGGCTTCGACAAAGTTGGGGTGGTCCTGCTGCTGGAACGTGTTGGTGATGTGCGAGAGCTTGTTGTCCGTGTTGGACGGGTTGTACGCATCGAGCGACGTGAGGAGCAGGACGTTCTGGTACACGAACACTTGGAGACACCCGACAGCGACAACGTACACGCGGACCTAGTCAAGAGTCGGATACGTCAGCGATCGGATCGATTTAACGCGAGTACGTGGAACTTGCGCTTCTTGAGGAGAAGCGGCCGCTGAACGTACGCCTGGACGACCCATTCTAGACGACATCTCTTCCACAATCCGATAGCTTAGCGAATTCGGATACCGCGAATGTCGGTCCACTCGGTGATGATGGCCTTGAACTTGGCATACGTATCAAAGACGTTGACCTCCGCGCCCTAGACAAGAAGAAGCGTGAGGCGACCATGATCCAACGAATGAACTATCCAACGATCCAACGACGGATCGATGGATCTATGGATTGGACGAGAGGCATACCTTGTTGGACGCACTCGGCTTCATGATCCACGTCCCTGTCTCGGCCTTGTCTTCAAAGAGCTGCTTGACTTCCCACAAGCACGACTCGAGGCGGTTCCGGAAGCTCACGCCGAGCTCGGCCAAGCTGTTGTCGAACGCATCCCAGAGATCGACGACGAGTGTTTCGGGGAGCGCGCGGCTAAGGCGGCAGCTCGGGTGCTTGCGGATGTACTTGGAGAGGAACATGGAGAGCTGCGCCTTGCGCGAGAGGCCCTTGCGCACGCAGTACGAGTTGGCGACCACTTGGCCTTGCAGCACGTTCTTCCAATCGAGGTTTTCGTACTCGTCCCACTAGCATCCCATGGTATATATAGATACATGCACAGAAGAGGCGTTGTACGAGGAGGTCGGGCGTGCGCGGGTCCGTCGGCAGCGTCATCACGTCCCAGAACCGGTCGTGCTTGGCAAACGCGCCAAGGACAAGCGGCCGGAGGTAGTTGCAAGGTACGTTGACGCGCACAAGCACGCGCTTCTCGGTACTCGTGGGCGCATAGTAGGTGTACGCCAGCGCACTCGCTTGCTCGTCCAGGAACCAGTAGTCGGCCATGCTGCGCGTCGATTCCTTGAAAGTAAATGCGTGCCAATCACCTGGCCTTTCTAATGTGCGAAGTTCGAACATTAAAACTTCGATGCAATCGCTTCGATTTCATACGTGGCAGCGTGGCCATCGAGCGCAGCCAGGTCCGTTGTATCCAGGTGCACAGCCAGTTGCGCCGACCGGCTCGCGTCATTAGCTCGGCGGTCACAGCATCTCTCGTGCGAGTACATGCTATCGCGCTAGCTTGCATGCTTGTACTGCTGTAGCAACCTCTAGCGAAGCTACCGATATGACGACAGGGAGCACGACGAGCCACCGCCGCGGCGAGCGAACGAAGAAGCTTGCGATTGGTCGTCTCTACAAAGTTGAAACTGTTTTGCTTTTTGGGTCAACATTTCGTACAGCGTGCGTTCGGGACTCGTGCCTCCTCCTGGGTCAAAGTGCTTTCAAGCTACCTGCATTGTCTGGCGAGACGTGGATCGTGGCATAAGGGGGCTGCTACCGACGTTCTGGTCAAGTGCTTGTGCGGCGTCGTCCCGCCTCCATTGCATCTCTTGGCGTCGGGAAAGAACGATATGCGCAGAAATAGACGTTATTAAACGTTTTGTCGCTGGTGGTTATCCAACCGCTTAGAAGGAATGAGCAAGCCGACGACGGACGTAGTACTCGAAGTTGCCCCCACCGCGGCAAGCCTCGTCCTCGTGCGCGCGTACCTCGACAAGTGGAACCTCTCGTACAGTGCGTCGCTCTCGCTCGATTCGCGCTTTAAGAACATCGTCCACGCGGTGCTCGGAAAACCCACGCCGTCCACGCCGTGCCCCCTCGCCGTGGTCCATATTAAATTTGCTCTGAGCGACGACCTCCGCGACGTCGCTAGCTACGAGATTGAAGGCGAGCGCCACATCTACAAGCTCAAAGACCACATCCACTTTGACGAGCGCATCTTGGACCGCATTCTGCGCCGCAAGATCGCCATGAAGCAAGCCAACCTCGTCGACGTCAGCGACGAGTACACCCGCGCGCGCGTCGCACCGCCCAAGTACGACGACGATGCGAAGCCATCCAGCGACGACAATGACGCCAAGGCCAAAGAGGTCGGTGACGAAAAAGCCAAGGACGACGACGAAGCGTTCGAGTCCCTAGACGACATGGACGCCGTCGAAGCGCGCCTGCGCAAGCTCTTTCGCGAAGGCGACACCAACAACGACGGCCACCTCACGTACCTCGAGTTCCGCACGATCCTCAAGAAAATCCAGCGCAACATGCGGTAAGCACACATACTGCACCGTATTGCCACTTGATCGATATGCCTGGTTTTAGGAAGGAAGAGGTCGACTTGCTCTTCACCCAAGCCGACGTCGACGGCAACTGCCGCATCGTCTACAACGAGTTCATTTCGTTTGCGATGGACGTGCTGCGGCGTCTCAGCGCCGGTCGCAAGTACCAGCACCGGTTTGAAGACTTGAAGGAGGACTACAAGGCGCTCCTCTCGGAAGAGCTCGAACCAACGGTCAAAGCCCTTCGCCAAGCCTTTGACGCCGCCGACTATGTCCCACCCAACGCGATGGGCCGCACGCGGGACTATAAATTGACGTACGACCTCTTCTTCAAGTGTCTCTCGAGCCCGCTCGCCAACCTCAGCCGCGAAGAGATCAACATGATCATGGCGCTTTCGCCCATGGACGACGACGGCAAGTTCGAGTACGCCGGCTTTGAAAAGGTGCTCTACGAGGCCATGTACCGTGTCTCGCAGGGTCAAAGCCTCGCGCTGGCCACCGACATTGCTGCCTACTTGCGCGGCCAGTTTGAACACGCGCACGAAATCTGGGCCTCGTCACTCGACGAAGAGGCGCCAGCGGGACGACTGCCCCGCCGTGTCTTGTTTGAGAGCCTCCACGGACTCAAGCGGCTCATGCTGAACCGCATCCAGTGCATTGTCGTGATTGGCCTCGCCGTCATCGACGAAATCGACGGCCTCGTCGACTACGAAGCGTTTGCAAATCGCGCAGGGCCCAAGATCCGCGAGCTCATCCATCCGAACCATGTGTCGCGGCGCCTTCGCATGGCCCGGACGGACGAAGCGACGATTGCTGCCATCTTCCAGGGCGTCGACGACCAAGCGGGTCTCGAAAGCATCCTCGTGAGCGCGTTTCAGCGCGAAGACAGCGACCATGACGGCGTCTTGCGCCTCGACGAGTTCCGCGCAGCGATGGAACACACGACGTTGGACCTGAGTAGCGAGCAGGTTGTCTCCATGATGGCGGCTGCGGACGAGAACGGCGACGGGTGCATCGACTATGCCGAGTTTGTCCAATTTGCCGTCGTGAATTTGGTCCAGCTCAAGAAGGAGGCACGGCTCCTACAGATCAGCGAAGAAGAGGAAGACGACGACGAGATCGACGACGCCAAAAGCGACGCCAAGTAGTGTACGCATAAGAACGATGGACGCGACTTGCTATTGTAGTGTCGTCCACAATTGGCGACGATGATTCGTACTACTCTTTGGTCGGTTGGAGGTATGTCGAGAGGAGCGAAATGCCTTTGGCCGCGGCCGCCGACCCGAGCAGCGACGAGCCCGAGGTGGAGAGGAGCGACTGGATCGACGACCGTTGCTGGGGTACCTTGGGCGATGGCGGTCGCACGTGAACAGGTGTCGGCAGGCGCGGTGCCGGTTTCAGGGATGGCACTGGCAAGAGCGCAAAGCGAGGCGCTGGCGGCGCCATATCCAACAGCGGTGATTCCCGCGGAAGCACCTTGGCGCCCGAGACGACCGACGACGTCGCGAGCCCCGAGAGCAGCAGTCGCGATGTCTGGAACTGTGCGACGACGTTCTCGACGAGGGGTGGGCCGTAGAGCTCCCAGTCGACGGGGTCGATCCAGTCGTGGACGAGGTCGGTCACGAGCGCTTGGAGCCCGGCGTGCGCGATCGCGTCGCCCCACCCAAAGCGTGCGAAGTCCGCGTCGCCGATGCAGAGCCGCACAAAGTAAACATCAAAGATGCTCTGAAGCGCGACCGCTTGGCCAAAGTCGAGCGGCGGCTTTGGCGGTTTGGCCGCCGCGAGCGACGCGACGCGCGACGCCAGCACGTCAAACGTCCACCCGAGCACGTGCGACCGGAGCTGCGCCTTGAGGATCGTGTCAACCGCCGGTTGCGTGCACCGGGGCATGGAGGCTTGCAGTGTAAACAGTGCATGCGCAATCGCTGGCGTCTCCGACCACGGCAGCCACACGTGTCCAAGACCTCCCGCGGTCTCGTCGTCGTCGTCGTCGTCGGTGGGCACGGCCACAGATACCCAGAACGGCTGGTGAACGCGTCGCCAGTCCTATCGATGCCTCATGAGATGCTGCTGCTTGCCACATATCCCGTGGGTACCTCGTTCGAATAGCCGTAAAACTGATCCCGAAGCGCGGCGACGACGGGTTGTGTGGCGTCGGCAACCGCCCGGTGGGCCCACACGGAGCCCACTTCGTTGGCCAGCACCTCAAACACAGCAGTCACGAGCGTTGACGGACCTACGCAACACCATCAGATCCAAGCGAAATGGGATGCAAGGCGACCATGGCGCTGCTGTACATGGCAGAGAAAGACAACTTGGGTCAACGTGGCGCCATAGTCGGGTGGTAGAAGCGCACTGAGAAGCGGCGAGGGTGGATGCTGGTCCAGCGCGAGCGTCTAGTAGGCAAAAACTGCGAATCCAGCCGGTAGTGATAATATAAGATACCGAAAAGATACTGGCCAAGCTCGCAGCGGGCACGTTTCCATCGGTGGCGTGCGGTGCCACCGCAGCGCGGATCGACGCCTCCGACAACGAGGCCAGTGACGACGATGGTGACGACGACACCGATGCAAACAACGCCTGCAGCGACATCTGCAGTGTCAAGCACAGCTCAACGATCGCAATCGAGGCGGCCACGCGTGTCTCTAGAAACCCCACGAGGTCAAAGAGCAGGCGCAACATGCCTTCATGCAGCACGGCGTGCAATGACCCGTCTGCTTGCGCAAGCATGGCTGAGAGCGCGTCGACAAACGCTTGCACGCTCGCTTCGCTCGGCACATGCAGCAGTGTGTGGCGAAACGTGCTTCCTGCGTCGTCCAGCGCGCCCTGGAAGAGCGCCTGCGTCTTTCGGACGAAGAGATCGTCCGCCAAAAGGGTCCACACGGACGACTCGTCATCCTCGTTCGTCTTTGTGACGGCCATGGCGTCACGAAGCAGCGGCAACGGCACAGTGTACTTGTCGACGCAGCGCTGGAGTCGAGACTGGATGTTGCCCAGTGTCGTCACGTCGCGGCTCATCTCGAGCAAAGCGAGAATGTGATGGCGCAGCTAGACATGAGCACGGTGTGGAATGGACGAGACGGCGTTGCGGTACCGTTTCGATGGCCGAGCGTAGCCAGCTTGACGCAGCGGTTGCCAGCGCCTTCTCGGTGCTGCCATCGTCGGCGGGCAGCAAGCGCACGGTCGACGTCGAGTCCAGAAAGAGTGCGTCAACGTGCGAGAGCGACGAGAGGACAATGTGCAAGAGCCGCAGCACGATCGACTGCGGGGACGACTCGCGGGCCACTGTCGCCTCCACCGCCTTGGTTCGGCCAGAGAGGAAGGTCGTTAGGAGCGCGAGACGACTCTGCTGTGGCGCCATCTGCTCGAGCGTGCGCAACGCGTCTGCATAGAAGCTCACGCGCTGCTTGGGCACGGCCAGACATGCGTGGGCGCATTCCTCGATCCGCTACAAGGCCATGTGAGGATGAGCGAGATGAATCACATATACCTTGGGAAAGTCGTGCATGGCTTGCAGATCGAGGGCGAGAAAGGCTTTGTCATGCAGCATTTCGGGTGAGAGTCGTTCATGTGCGGCTTGAACTTGATGGTACGTCGCATACGCTTCGAGAGGCCGTCCGCGCTCCATCGCCGCCCACATGCGCTCCGAGGCCGCGACGATGACGTGGACATCATCTTCTTCGAGCGGGTCCTCGCCCACCGATATCGGCGCCGAGGCTTCGGTTGGCTGGCGCTCGACGATCGCATCCACGCAGGTCTCGAGCTGCTTCCAGAGTCTTGGCATGTCGCCGAGGGCGTGCTCGAGGTGCATCGAGGCCTCGTGCATGCTCACGATCTGGTCGGCGGATTCGATGAGGTCGTGGTAGCGGGAGCCGCCCATGGCCTGCATCTCCTTCTCCTTGGCCTCCTTCTCCCGGCGGGTCGCATCGAGGAGCTTCTGCACCTCGGCGACCGAGAGCTGCCGCAAGACCGCGTCGACGTGCATCTTGAAACTGGCGAATTTAATTTCACACGCGCGTGGCATATTCATTTTCACAGTGTCTTTCAGGCCAAGCCGCGCCGATGATGGCAGACGAGCCGAGTCGTGGCCCGCGCAGCAGTAGGCCGACGGCGCTGCATGCGCACCTGCTCATGCTTCTGTCCTGCGCTAGGCATCAGCCTCCTCCAACCGCCCAAGGCGAAGCGAGTGGCCATGGCCGAGATGCCATCGGCAACGGCCGAGCACTCGACGGCCCGCCAGCAATCTCTCGGTACGCATCACGCCGCTGCCAATGCATCACCGCGTGCATTGTAGCCCAGCGCGACGCACTCACGAGGTACTTTAACGCAGCGCGTGCGCTGTACGTCCAAGGCCACGTCGACCATGTGTGGACATCGCTGGAGAACCCGGTCTCTTCCACGCCTGCGTATCACGACTCATCTCCGATTAGTACGGCTTTGCGTCCTTCAACACATCGGACGCCCTTCGGCAACTCGTGTCGCCGCTTCGGCCTGGCCATGTCCTTGGTACTACGTCGCCTCCATGCATCGTCGCTCATGCGTGGTCTAGACGACTGGACGCCGAGCGAGATCTACCTCTTCGAAGTCGGCATGCGCCAGTTTGGCAAGCAGTTCCATCTCATCCAGCAACTGGTATGCATACGTCGTCAGCATGGGTCGTCTCATGCTGCGTGGACAGATTCCCGAGAAATGCACGCGGAGTGTCATTGCGTTCTACTACCTCTGGAAAAAGGCCGGTCTCGCCAAGACCGTGTGGATGAAGACCGCGCCAACCAAAGACCCGTTCGGGATGAAGCTCATGAAGCTCGAGCGTCAAAAGCACGGCATCGTACCGACAGCATACGACCTCCTCAGCGACGGCGACGACGACACGGTCCTTGCCGTCAAGCGTACGCTGATCCTCCTCTGCACTCGCTTCACCGACGCCCAATGTAGGCCAGTCGTTGCAACAGGCCACCAAGAAGCGCCGGATCGATGCGGTCGTCGCGCCGCCGATCGTCGCCACCGCGAGCGTCGCGCAGATGCAAGGTGATCGATAAGATACGACGCCTTTATCTGAGCGGGAGATTGCCATCTAGACGTCCGTGGCGTCGTCACCGAGTACTTTGATGCTGTACGCAGCTTGTACACGCCGGCGCCCATCGATACGCGCGCCCTCGAAGCGTCGCTCAAGCAGGTAGACAGACCCGCCAGCGGTGGGTATGGTCTTGACATGTGCGTAGTGGGGGCTGGACGGGACCACGCTCTTGCGACCGACCATCGCGCTCCTCTCCAGTCTTCGCCCCGTCCACGTTCTCGGTACGTGCAGCTGCTGCGATGCGATCTCATGCATTCGTAGACGCATGGACGCCCAAGGAGCTGAGCATCTTTGAGATCGGTCTCGAGCTCTACGGCAAGCATTTCCATTATGTTGCACAGCTCGTACGTCCCCACACGCATCCAAGCCATGGGCCTCATGCGTCCGTAGCTGCCGCGCAAGTCGACGTCCGACGTCATTGCGCTCTACTACATCTGGAAAGCGGCCAACCCGTGGTACGCCAGCTGGAAGCGCAAGCGGCCACAGCCATAAAATGCAAACGCTGGTGGTGTATCCCTCACCGTGTTGCTGTTATCGCGTCGACAGGACGAGCGTCGCCGCGTGGTCGGCACAGTCGCTGAGGGCGCGCGGGGGGCGCTCGGTTGTCGGCAGCGTTCGGTCGCTGTCGCTCTCGGACCGTTGCTGCAGCGGGTCCGACCCGTTGCGCGCACTCACCGTCTCGGGAATGCCCACAAAGTACCGGTGCATCGCATCGAGGAACCGGCGCTCGTACGCCTCGGGCGGGATCACGGTCGGCGTCGTGTACATGGTCTTGGCACTCGACTCGACTTTCTTGAGAAAATCATACTGGTGCAAGTAGTCGATGATGGAGGCGCGCAGCTCGCGCGTGCCATCGTCAAACGAGAGCAGCTAATATATGCAGTCGTGTCTATGTATCAACTTGATACAAGACAAAACGTACCAGCGAGTAGTCGATGACGTCGACGCTGACAAGAAACTCGACGTCGCGCGCGATTGCATCGGAAAAGACCGCGAGTTCGTCTTCGCGGATCGGGACTGGGATCCGGTCCATAAAGTTGCCATCCGGAAGCACGCGGCGTGTCGTCGTCGAGGTCGACGAGTCGTTCGGGTCCAAGTACCGGCGGCGCATGACGCCCTTCAGATCGTACATTTGCGTGGCTGTGAAGCCAAAGTTGGCGTTCTCCATGATGATGACATGGGTCCACTTGGAGCCTTGGGATGGCACGCGCAGCTTGTAGGCGCCGAGGATCTTGGCCAAGCACGAGGGCTCGTCGTTCTCGAAGCTCTTGCCGAGGTACTTGAAGTAGTCGGGTGCAAAGTCGATAAACATGTTGAATTCGGCCGCGGTGACGCCCTTGAGGATGAAGCGCCGGTCATGCGCCTACTCGGATCGTATGAAAAGATGACGCAACGTTTAGTGAAGCGTACGAGGTTGAAGAAGGCGCCCGACTTGCCGCCCGACGTTGTGAACGCTGCGCTCTGGCAGATCGACTCGACGTACGCGCGGTTGCCCGGACGGCACATTTGCCGGAGCGCATGGAACTGCGTTGCAAAGTACACCATGCACACGATACTCCGACCTTCGTCGTCGACGACCGAGTCGCCGATCGCCGAGACATCCGACGCCTCGATCGTCGGCTGCTGGAGCACGACGTGGCACTTGAAGTGATTGGCCGACGCCGTGTTGAGGATCTGCAGCGCGGTGGCCTTGTTCATGCAGTTGGTGGCCGACAAGAGCTCGTCGGCGACGTTGATGGACCGACAGCTGCTCTCGAGCTGCTGCACGTACATGGCCGAGAGGAGCGTGTACGCAATGAGCGACCCCATGTCGTCTTCGTGGACCCAGACAATCGTGTTGCGCACGCCGCTCTCGAGGTGCATCGCGCGGTCGTCAAAGAGATGGCGCAGCGCCTGCCGCACGTCTTGCTTGCGCTGCTTTTGCGCTACTGCGTGGCTTGAGCCGTTGTGGCCCGGCGTGAAGAGGTGCTTAGAGTCCTTCGGCGGCGGCGGTCGGTACGTCGACACCGACTTGAGCGTGTCGTTCGAGTCGCTCGACGCGCTGCTCGAGAGCCGCGTGAGACTCAAATTGCTCTCATGCACGTCGAGCACGGTCGGTAGCGCAGTGGTGCTGCTACCAGTCGAAGACGGATCCTCGGGCCGTGTCCACTGCGTCGGGATCGAGCTCCGACGCTGCGCCGAGGCCGACCGTTTGGCGTTGATGACGCGCTTGGACGTGGCCGACTGAAACTCAAAAATGTCCTCAATGATGCGGGTGCAGCTCTGGTACAGATCCTCCTTGACGCGGTTGATCTCAAGGAGACTCTCGGTGGCCTGGAGACTCTGGATGCGCAGCTCGAATCCTTCAAAGACGTCGGCCGCGTTGGTGCGGAGACGCTAGGCGCATACTATCAGACGACGATGTCTATCCGATGGCGCATACCTCGACGTCGGGGGCAAGGTCTTCGAGAATGAGCTTGCCCTCCGCAATAAGAGTTTGGATGCGAATGTCATTGGGGCTGCGCCATGACGCCTCGGCGAGCTCGAGAAGCTTGCTCAAGACAAACGCTTTGGCCGTGCCAAAGAGCTTTTCGGTGTGCCGGACGAGTGGGATATAACACGTCTCGACGTACTTGTTGTGCGGCATCTCGCGCACCGTGGACGAGACCTTGAGCGAGTAGGGCTGCCACGCTTTCGGTTTGTGCTTCTGAAACGAGCCGTCAACGACGCCGGGAAGTAGTGCGTCGTCGCCGTCCCCCATCATGAAGGACGACCGGCGGTTGATGATCATGCTGCTGATCGCAGCCATCCAGTCGGCGCGCGTCGGCCCGCTCGGCGCGTTGAGTCGCAGTCGCGTCTTGCCGTTGAGAATCTCAAACGCAAACTACACCAATTGGGAATTGAGATCGAACAAAGACAGAGAAATATGTCCACCTGGTGGCGCAAATTGCTCGTCGGCGGGTACGTGATGGCAAACACGGACGTGTGGCCATTGATGTAGACCTGTCCGAGCTGCAGGAGCGAGTTGAGATCCTTGAGGTACACGAGCGTGTTAAAGTCGTTCCGCAAAATGAAGTAGCGCAGCTTCCACGTGTGCGAGTACGACCCGCACTTGCCGAGCCACCCTTCCTAGTCGTTTTCGTCCACGTCAGAGGAAGCAGAAGGACCGTAGCACAAGAAGAAGAAGGTCTACCATGACGATGTTGCTCTTGTCGAATGTCATGTTTTGCATGTGATTGATCGGCGTCGACCGGCAGTGTAGCACATGCGAGAGGCGCGAGTCCACACGCAGCGACCGGTAGTACCGGCCTTCGTCCGTCTCAAACGACCCGCGCGTCGTCGGCGGCTGGCAGGACGCGAGCTTGATGCGCATGCGGATCCATCGACGCCGGCGCACAAAGTCCTGCGGCCGGCGCTTCGCCTTTGTTATGCCCTTGGCCAAGTGCTTGTTCATGGCCGAGATGCTCGTGCCATACGTCCAGCCGTCGAGGTCGCACGCCGTATAGGTCGTGTCGACGACCCACGGGTGGTTCCAGCGCCAGTAGTGCTTGAGGTCGTCGCCCATGTCGTTCTCGTCTCCCGGCGAGAAGGTGCTAGGGAACACACAGAAGCGCGAGGTGGGGATGTTGCCCGTCCGGTCGAGCCACCGGCGCGACTCGGCCCGCCACTCGAGCGGGAACTTGTACGGGTGGAGCGTCTGTACCTCGAAGACCTCTTCCAGCACCGTCTCCATGCCATCCTCGTCCTCATGGCTTCGTATCCTCTCGGCCTGCATGCGTCCGTCGTGGCCAGCTAATGGTCAATGATGGCGTCACCACGGCCCCGTTACTGCGGCGAACGAAACGAGGACTTGTCCTGCTTTCAGAAAAAGCCACTGCTGATTGGCGCATTTCTGCCAATCACATGCAAGATGCTCCACCTGGCCACCTGCTCCAGTCTCTACCTCTGCCCTTGTATACGCCCGGCTCGCGTCAACGGCAACGTCGCGCGTAGGACCAAGTGGCCTGACTTATCTATAACGCGCTAAAGGTGTTGAAAGACTGACGACCGTCGCCGCGTCTTTGGCGACGACAGCGGTATTAGTAGCCAGCGCGCCATCGCTGCGACTGGCGTTTAACGTGTTTTACGCGCGTCGAGCATCGCACTTAATCGAGATGCGGACTTTTGCGAAACCGCAGTTGGCGTGAAGTAGGCGTGCCTGGATTATACGCGTATCCGGATACGGGCGGGAGGGTATTCCGCGATCACCCTTTCGTCAATCAGCAAGCAGCATGAGCAAGCGGGCAGGCCGTGCACGGAGCTTGAGCCCCCAGCGGGAGATGACGGGGCCGTCACCCAACCCACGGACACCGTCGGAGGTCGAGGGCAACCGGTTCCCGGACTCGCCGCCGGCGGCCAAGACGGCGAAAGCGGGCAGCAGCTTCCGCCTTGACGTGCAGGGCAGCTTCCACAACGTCGTCAAGCTCGTGCAAACGGCCTTTGTCGAGCGGGACGGCGAGATGGCCTCGGGCTGGATGCTTCTCGAGACCGACGCCGGGCAGATCGACGCGCTCGACGCGGCGCTTGACACGGTCCGCGACGCCTTCCTCTTCTCGACGTCGTTGACCGAGAACAAGCTCGATCTGAGCGCGCAGTCGATCATCTCGCGCTGCGAGAAAGTCGCCGAGCGTATCGTCGACCAGACCGACATGCGCGACGTCCTTAGCACCAACTGGTCGGACATGAACGTCTTTGCCAACCTCTCGAACAACCTCAAGGAGATCAAGGGGCTTGTCATTACGCCCGTCGTGCGCCGGGACAAGGCGGCCGAGCGCAAGATCGGCAAGCGCATCGATCGCTTCGTCGCACTCATGACGACGTCGTTCCAGTCCCTTCGCACCGACATTGCCAACCACCTCGGCGAACTCGACGCGATTCTCGTCGAATGCAATGCGCTCCTGGTTGATGTCATCACGTTCCTGCACATGCGTGGCCGCACCGCCGACTTCAGCGGCACGGGCGTCGCTGCTGGTGCTGCCGGCCTCATTGCTGGCGTCCTCGTACGTCCATAATGGCTCGCGCGACTGCTGTGCGAAGTCATAATTGTGTAGATTACGACCGCAGCGATGCTCACGGTCCCTGTCTCGGGTGGCCTCAGCGTGCCCTTCCTCGTCGCGGGCAAGAGCCTCATGGTCTCGGGCGCCGCGACGCTCGCGCCTTGCGGCCTCATGCTTCAGAGTCTCTACTTTAGCTCGTGATCGGCAAACGCTCATGTTCCGACGATGCATTATAGGCCACGAAAAGCAGCTCAAGGGCCTCACCGACCTCGTCAAGTGCCTCAAGGCGCGGATCGAGATCATGCACGCACGCCGGGACGTGCTTGTCATGGGCCTCAACGCGTGCACGGAAGCCGACTTTAACATTCAGCAAGTCGGTCTTTTCTGCCAAGACGCGACAGAGCTCGAACTCTCGTCCTACGTTCGCCACTCGGCCGCTGTCGGCGTGTGTCCTAATGCCATGCGTAGGACAACTCATTGCCGTTCATGACGCTCGTCGAGGCCAAGATGATGGTGCTCGAAGAGAGCATGGAAGCGTTTGCATCGAGCCCGTCCATCTTTCACTACTGCCACGAAGAACAAGATGACAGCGGGCTTCTACTTCCGGACGACGAGGCCAAATAAGGCGACTTCGACTAACTAAATTGGATGATATACTTGCTTCTTCGTCGTCGTCGACCCTGACGCGTTCACACTCGCTGTGCATGGGTGCATGTGTGATGATCATGAAGCCCACATTCTTGGCTATATCTGAGCTTTGCGGTGTGCTTGACTTGGCCGACGTTACTGGTCTTATGCGGTTAAAAGGCGGTGTGCCACCTATGCACGTACGAATTCCATTGCACGACGCAGCTACAGCGAATGCGCGATTCAATGCTGCTGCAGCAGTGAGACTGCGAGGTAAATAAGGTTTCTTTGAACAATGGGTGGTGTTTAAAAACACCAAATTTGTTTGTGCGAGACGAGCCCGGCACAGTATGCAGCAGCGGATTTAACCGCCGAAGCCGTAGAGCGTGCGGCCCTGGCGCTTGAGCGCGTAGACGACGTCCATGGCCGTCACCGTCTTGCGGCGAGCGTGCTCCGTGTACGTGACCGAGTCCTTGATGACGTTCTCGAGGAAGACCTTGAGGACACCGCGCGTCTCTTCGTAGATGAGGCCCGAGATACGCTTGACACCGCCACGACGAGCGAGACGGCGGATGGCGGGCTTGGTGATGCCCTGGATGTTGTCGCGAAGGACCTTGCGGTGGCGCTTCGCACCGCCCTTGCCGAGACCCTTGCCGCCCTTGCCACGACCAGACATGATGTTCTTGTCGATTTACTGGAAAATTGAAAATGAACCAAGGTGACGGCGACGACCGCCATTACTGGTACGCGTCGTGGGCGCGTGTGACGGCATTTGATTGGTGCATTGTTTTGCATGTTGAATTCCGCCAATCCAAGACACAGTACACGATGATTGGTGCATTCTAACGAATCCAAATGGTTCGTAGTAAAAGAAGGAGATGCCATTGGCGGAACACTTCTGGCAGCGCCAGAAATGCCATGGGCCTTGAATTCGAGAGCAAGTGGACCTCGTCGAGAGTCATATTCCAAAATGGCTCGTACCAAGCAAACCGCCCGCAAGTCCACCGGTGGCAAGGCCCCGCGCAAGCAGCTCGCCACCAAGGCCGCCCGTAAGAGCGCCCCCGCCACGGGCGGCGTCAAGAAGCCCCACCGTTACCGCCCGGGTACGGTCGCGCTCCGTGAAATCCGTCGCTACCAGAAGTCGACGGAGCTCCTCATCCGCAAGCTCCCGTTCCAGCGCCTCGTCCGCGAGATCGCCCAGGACTTCAAGACGGACTTGCGCTTCCAGGGCTCGGCGGTCCTCGCCCTCCAGGAAGCCGCCGAGGCGTACCTTGTCGGTCTCTTCGAGGACACCAACTTGTGCGCGATCCACGCCAAGCGTGTCACGATCATGCCCAAGGACATCCAGCTCGCCCGCCGCATCCGTGGCGAGCGCTCGTAAATGCGCTGCCTTGACCTAGTGTCTCCATACCTGGTGTTTTTCAACACCACCCAACGACTGAGAAATATTTATACCGTGCTCAACTGGCCCGTCAAAATCAGTTACGTCGGGTAAACAATCATGGTGTATCGTGCCCGAAGCAAATGCTACGAGGTCCATGAGGCCCGCGAATGCGTCGCCCTACCCAGGCTCGGTGCGTGCAATGTGTCTCCACCCAAAGTCAAAGACCCGCATGGGTACCTCGCCATGTACCTCGAGGAGAAAACCACGCGGACATGTACTTTTGTGCAAGACAAGCCGCCACCAAAGCCTCCACCGCGCCAGTTCAGACCCTCTCTCGTCCGAACCCGTAGCTGGATTGACGATGAGGACAAGCATTGGCTCGACCGCAGTCTAAGTGTGATTGATGCCAAGGCGGTACTCGAATCACTGCTTTGACAACGCATTGCAATCATGTCTAGGTGCGCGCGTGCGTGAGCGACCACGAGCGCATCAATCGCGCGTTGGAAGCGCTCCACGCCAAAGTGGCTGCGGCCCACGAAGGTCTCGCGCGGGAGCAAGCAAAGCGCAAGGAGCTGCTCGCCGCAATCGGAGCCTCGGAGGCGCTCGCACCTGTGTGCCACGACCGTGTACGACGCCCAAGCCCGTGTGTTTGCCTTGGATATGCTTCAACACGAAGTAGAGAGCCACGCACGAGATGCAGCTTCGCGTTGTCGAGAACGCGATCGCGTCGACAATAGTCGACAGTCGCACGCGGCGGGCGCAGGTGGCCGCTGCCAAAGAGACCCTGGATGCTGTTCAGCACCGCCTCCACGTACTACCACTCCACATGCATGCCTCGTGAGACTTAGTAGCGTTGGTAGCTCGGCCAAACGGCCGTGGCCCAGCAAGCCAGCACCATGGACGCGGTCCAGCAACGACGCGCAGCGAAAGCGGCGGTGGCGGCGAGTGTCGCGGCAGCGATGCAGCGCATGGAGGTCGAGGCGCTGCGGCGCGATGCAGCCTTGCGCGAGCTCCAGACGCAGTGCGATGACGAAGCCAAGGTGCGGCAACGTCGTCGTCGTCGTTGGTGCGAAGTGTGCACGCATAGCGGCTCGAGAACCTCACGCTGGAGGCCAAGGCCAGCGCGGCGCGATGCCACAGCGTCGCACAGTTTGTATCGCAGTGCACACGCGAGTACGCCGAAAGAGGGTTCGCCCTTCCTCCGATCGAGCGCTGAACCGGACGATATTCGTGCCCCTCGCTCCCACGCACACAGCGCAACCACAGGCCACGCACCGTCGGTGGCACCCGCGACGAGATATGTCGAGATACGTCGACGCTACTTTTGCCAAGCAAATGAATGCTCGATCGCTTGACGTTCTTGGCTGTGATGCCGTCGCCATGAAGGCTCGCAGAGGTCGAGGCGAGGGTCCTGGTGCCGGGGCCACCGTCGACCGATATACATGTATAAAGCAGCAGTCATTAGTTCAGCGTACACGTTTTTTGCTACCCACCCTGTCTCTCAACCTCAATCCAAACCCCCCATCCGCGTCCTTGGTGTCTGCGACGCTCGACGTCGTAGTGGTTGACGAACATCACTCGATCGGACAAGGCGGTGTGAAGCATACTCGTCGTAGCTTGTTTGGCGCGAATATAAGAACACAGATCTGTACAGAAACTCGTGGCCGTAGTTCTATGTGACCACTTCCGCCCCTGTCAACAACTCCAACGTGTGATCACCAGACAGAGGGAGGCCATGCTCCCTCAACACGGGCCCGTGTACTTCAGAGCAGAACAGAAGTGGACGTCAAGTGACTGTTGCCAAAGGATGTACCGTCCTACATCAACGGGCTTCTTCCGTAAGACGAAGCATGGAGTGACTCATAGCATCGACACCACCTCAACTTATATCGTCTATTAATGTCACGACGTGCCTGGGTTCGTGTGCATGGCGTTCGAAAGCATGGTCAGGCTCGTCTTGATGGCCATGTTGATGGCATAAAAATCATCGCGGTCCCGCAGCGTGCCGTCGAGGAGGCCGATGCGATCGAGGGCCGCGAGCGCGATCTGGGTGTGCTTGATCGCGTGGACGACCGACCGGTTCTCTGTCCGCTACGCACCAACGATATCAGCACGTGCCACTCTCTTCGTTCGCACCATGCTCGCCGCGTCCGCGTTGAAGAGGTGGGCGCGAAACCACTCGCACTCTTGCGCGGCGCTCCAGTTGTACGCTGGTCGATTGCGTTTGTAGCGAAGCTCGTCGAGGAGGTACTCCATCTTGCGCGCGATCGCGAGCAAGATCGATGCGCGGCGAATGCGCGCCTTCTTGAACGGAAACGTGCCCGTCTCGAGGACGGCGTTCAAGTCGTCCCGGCGCAGTGCGAGCGTGTCGACATACGTCAACGTCCGCACCTCGTAGTGCCGGACGCCATGGTTGAGCACAATGTCTTCGCCGACAAAGTGGCCTTTCCCAAAGAGGCGTCCGAGCCGGGCGACGAGCCTACGCCGTCGGTCGACTCGACCCAATTCTAGTAAGACAGAAAAGAGAAATGTACGGACCCGCGGGAAATGATGTACAAGACGTCGGTCGCGTCACCGATGTGGATCATGACTTCGTTGGGCGGGTACAGGACCGGCTCGAGGCGCTGCGTGATGGCCGTCACAAACCGAATGTGCTGCGACGTCGGCCCGCCGACAAAAAAGGAATACGGTGAATCCACTCGCCGGACGTGTAGACCTCGATTTCGCCGCGGAGGCCCGGCGAGAGCGTATCGAGCGCGTGGGCAAAGTACTTGTGGTGCATTTGGTCGCGCATGTGGAGAAAGTATTCTCGAAACATGACTTTCATCTCTTGCGGCAAGTCTTCTTTAGCCATGTACATGTTGAGATGGTCCTACCATCGACACTTCAACGTTTGGCGCTAAAAACATCGACAACAAAATCGCACCATTTTCTGGTTGAACTCGGTCGTGGCTTCGCTCAGGCCCGAGACAAGACCGCAAATGGACCCAATGACTACAGATACACGTAGTGTCGGTTGTAGACGCGAGGACGCTTAACTGAACGAGTAGCTGCCGCAGCCAATGATCATGCAGAGGATCGCAATCATCCGCTCGGCCGACGTGACGACCGACACGTCACCGTACCCAATCGTGCCGATCGTCATGACGGACCAATAGAGCGACGCAATGTACTGCGTCGGCGGCGAGCTGCCGTTGATACCGTACGCGACGGTCCAATCTTGGAGGTTCCCAAACGCGTCCAAGTTGTGCTGAAACTGCGGCGTCGTGCCCCAGACGCACGCGAGCCAGTGGGCGAGCACGAGGATCCCGAACGTGAACGAAATGAGCTTGGAGAGCGCGATTGGAAAGTCGAGGCGGGCTTGCCAGCGCGCGACGATCCGGTTGGCGCGAAAGACGCGCATGAGCTTCATGATGCGAAGGATACGAAGAATGCGCAGCACGACGAGACGGCTCGAGGGCGCGGGCGTGTTGGAATCGCTACTTCTGTCGCTGGACGACAGCGTCTCAAAGGGAAAAATGGACGCAAAATCAATGAGAAACCAGCCTGCGACCTTTTGAATCGATATCGATAACTTGATAGATGCACGCACCTCGCAAGTAGTTCTTGGCCACGAGCCCGTACTCGTCAACGACCGCGTTCGTCGCCTTGTCGACGTACGGCGTGACAAAGTTGAAGAGCATGTCGAGGCAAAAGAGAACGTCGACCATATTGTTGACGACGGACAGCGCCGTCACCGACGTCTCGGTCACAAAGGCAATCTCGTACGGCTACACACATATCCACACCGATGTATCCACATGCATCTCCAGAGACGTACGACGAGGAGAGCCGTGTAGAAGAGGAGCAAGAGCATCAAGATGTCCCAGCGCCACCGAAACGGCGCGGTCGACTCCAAGTACCGGTGAATGTGCCACCACTTGGGCACCGATTGGAGCTTCTTGAGCGTTCGCGTGCGACGCGACGCACTGTGCAGCAATCGCTTGTTGTCCTTTGGCCGGAGCTGCATGGCCGCCAGGTCTCTCGACCCTCGGCGCGTCAGTTCCGATTGGAAGACCTCGCGCATCGACGGCTGCGTCAAGCGCTTCTGGTGCATTTCGTGGAGCGTCGGCGGGGCCTCCATGTTTTGCTTTTGCATCTACACTGTGGCATGAGCAAAGGCCGTGTCGGGTCGAGTCGAGCCTCGGCCTGGAGTGCGACAAAGCTGGTCAGGCGCACGTCGGCTTGGGACGTGAGTCCGGCCAGCTTCATCGAGATGCGGTGCCGCTACAAATCGGAGCGTGAGCTCAGGAGCACGCGGTCGGACCGTACGTGGACAGGTCGCACGACGTCATCGGGGTGCCGGCTGCCCGACAGCTGCATCTCGCCAAGTCGTTTGTAGTCGTTTCGTCGCGACTGGAATTCGTTTCGAGACAAGTCGCTCGATATCGCCTTTTCAATTTGATTTCTTTGGTCGCAAATACCACATTGGTTGCCTCTCGCACGCGACAGCTCGTATTGCATTGAGCACGATGGCCGTCGACGCTTCTCGGACGCACACCAGCATGTAGCTTTTGAGGAGAGCCATCGCAACACATCATCCGCGAGAGAGCGCTAACTTTCATATTCGACGAGTGTCCTCAAGGTATGTCCATTGTGGTTTAACCCTCCAACGCCTCAAACAGCGAAATCATCCAGGCATGGTGAACGACTTAGTGATTTTACTTGGAGTTTCGACCCCTTCCTTTGCGCTAGGTACAAAGTAATTGCCGCGAGGAGACGCGGCGATGGTTTTGTGATCCTTCCCGATCGCAGGAAGTACTCTCTACTGTAGGTTGAAAGGCTCCAGAGGCCAAATGCAAACAGATAGGAATAACGCGTACAACATGACGTTTGACGACCCGAAATGCGACGTGATTGGACGACATTGCTGGTAAAAAGTGCAATTTGGTGGAACCAAGAGATTCATCAGTGGTGGGATTTGAACCCGTACGTGAGTCGGCACAGCGACTCTTTGTTTTGCCGCCAGCACGAGAGAGATCCAACGGAGACGCAAGAGCTGTAAGCATACCAATGGAGAGTACAAGTGTCCTGTAGTAGGAGATAGAACGACGACTAATACATTTCGGTCGGTTGCTCCACGTGACTCACGATGGCGGGTAGATGGACCAGAGAGCGATTTTCGTGTCCTTGCCGCTCGACGCCATCAGCTTATTGTCGGCTGCAAACGCGACGCAGTAAACGCTATCTGTGTGAAACTTGAGGGTCGCGAGGCGCCGACTCGTCCGATTGTGGAAGACACGAACCCTACGGTTCGGTTGATTGATATATTGATACTTGGATCGCCCACGTACATGTGATCGCGCCCACCGGACGCAAAGATGCGGGCGTCAGGGCGGCTCGCGATGGCATTGATGCCCTCCGACTTGGCCTTGTACACGACGCTCGCCTCGGACGTCTCCCAGTTCATGCGGTACATGTCGTGCGACGGGCTTCCCAGCAGCGTCCCGGACGGCGTTGCGGCCATGCACACCACTAGACGCAACATGACATGCGATCCACACACCGAGAGACAGAGGCAGCGTACATGGCGACTCGGCGACCTTTTGGAGGCGACAGGCGTTGCAGGCGCGCGCACATCAAAGCGTGCGACGAGTCCGCCTTCAAAGCTCGCGCACGGATCGCCGTCGCTGGCTGTCGCGGAGGGTAGAACGTCGAGTGCCATGCACATGCCTGCGCTGGGCGTGTGAGCGTGACTCCGGAAGCAATCACGTCACTCTACCCGACTGGAGCGCGGCGCCGTTGAAGCGCAAGGCGGGTGCTTGGTTGTCGACGCGCGTGTCAAAGATGCCTAGCTGTCGTTTGTGCAGGGCATGAGCGCAGGACGATGTTCGATGAGGAAGCGCACCGCCTGCGCGTCCTCGAGCGGCGACAAAATCGAGTGCGCGCCGAGCGCCATGGCCTTGGTGAACGTGTACGAGCCGCACGCTAGCCGCTGGCGCGCATGCACACCGCCGTTGGCAACGTCCCAGAGTACGAGAAAGCCGTCGCGGCCGTGGCTGAGGAGGGCATCGCCAAGCATGCCCACGCACAAGATACCGGCCTTGGAGTGCGCCGAGATGGACGCAGCGGGTCGCCGGATCGAGAGATCCCAGAGCTTGAGATTGCCGTCGGCAGCGCCGGACGCGAGGTACGTGGCGCCGCCCTGCTCGAGAAAGGCCACGCTGTTGACCGCGGCGGCGTGGCCGCGAAGCACGCCGACCGGGCTTGGCGGTGCTGGTGCCATGCTTGCAGTAAGGAGCGCCGGATACCTCGGCCTTTCTATCCGGAAGCAGTTCCACAGCGTCGTTTCATCCGTCGCGATGGCGGAGCCGAGCATGAGCCCGGCGACGCTGGTGCCCGAGCGGCCGCCTGCGCGCTCCTTCCATCTACCGAGGCTGCCGGTACGTGCATGCCACAAGCCTCCATGCCATGGCTCATGCCATGCAACTAGTCCAAGATTGGGCGATCGGGCAGCAGCAAGGTCGGCGCCGTCACGCCTCGCTGCTTCTGCTCACGCGTCTACCTCTAGAGCACGCTGGCGCACGACGTGTCTGCGCCCATCCCAGAGCGTGATACACTGCAGGTGCACCATGCTTCCGGCGGCGGCGATGTATCGAATGCGTAGGACGGTATCGTGGCCAAGTCGTCGGCGCGCAGCCATGGGAAGAGCCATCATCCGCACGGGCTCTCGAACAAGATCGTGCCATTGCGTGACCGTCTCATGCGCCGCTCGTTCAACTCGATGGACGACGAGGGCCAGATGGTCATGCGCAAGAACAAGGAATTTCTCAAGAGCAAAAAGGTCTACCAGCTCAACCAGCTCGACCGCTTCCATCGGCGCAAGGCCCATCTGCATCCGAACTCGAGCTTCCGTGCTGGCTGGGACATTTACATGATTTTCCTCCTCATGTGGACGTCGCTCGTCGTGGTAGATGCCTGTACTACCAATATGCATGATTTCATATCTTCTCTAGCCGTACGAGATTGCCTTTGTGACGACGGACGCCATCAATGCGCTCTTCGTCCTCGATCGCATCGTCGACCTGTCGTTTCTGACCGACATGATCTTCAACTTTATGACCCCGTACGTCGACAAGGAGACCAACCAGCTCGTCGAAGACCCGTCCATGATCATCTCGCACTACGCTCGCGGTGCGTTGAGATCCCGCGTCCTCTGCGGCTCCTTTGTCCGACATCGGTCGATTGGGGTCGGATGTAGGATGGTTTCTGGCCGACTTTGTTTCGATTCTGCCGTTCGATTTCGTGGGCATGGTATTTAACTCGAGTATCCCCAATTGTGGGTGATGTCATCGATCGTATCTAGTTTCTCGGCACGGACAGCTCCTCGTCCAACTTGAAGACGCTCAAGATCATTCGCGTCATTCGGCTTTTCCGCCTCGTCAAACTCGCCCGGGTCTTCCGCGCATCCCGCATTTACTCGCGCTGGGAAGCCATCCTCGGGTCCACGCAATATCGGCGACAAGACACCTCACGGGCGGTCACGTAGGTTCAAGTACACCAGCGTCAAGCTCGCCAAGTTTCTAAGCAGTGTGCTCATGCTCGCGCACTGGCTCGCGTGCTTGTGGGGGCTCACGCCGCAGCTCGAGGCGGTCGCGGACGGCGCCGAGAACTGGCAGTCGGCGTACCACATCGCGAGCGCGGACGAGTCGACCAAGTACATTGTGTCGCTCTACTGGTCGGTCATGACGATCGGCACGGTGGGGTACGGCGACGTGCAGCCAAAGACCGACTTTGAGCGCGTCGTGTGCATCATGTGCATGCTAGCAGGCGGTGGCACGTACGCTTACAGTACGTCGTCGCTTTCTGGATTCACGGAATGGACAAACTTTGTCCAAACTAGTCATTGGTGCCGTGTGTGGCCTCGTGGCCGCCATGGACGAGTCCGAGACCGAGTTCAACCAGCAAATGGACCACCTGAATGTCTATATGAAGAAGGAAAAGGTGCCGCAAGCCATGAAGATCAAGCTCCGCGAGTACTTTCTACACAGCCGCGACCTGCTCCAGCACAAGTACTTTAGCCACGTCATTGCAACGCTGTCGCCGGGCCTCCGCGGGCTCATTTCCGTCTACACCAACGGCGAGTGGACCAACAACGTCCACTTTTTCAACGGCGGCCCGTACGACGAACACGTTCGGTTTGTCACGGCGATCACGCAAAAGCTCCGCGCCGAGCTCTTTCCGCCCAATGAAAACATCATCCACCACGGCGACCCAACCGACAAGATGTACATCGTCTCGAAAGGCATCGTCGCACGCCTCGGGCGCGTCCTTGGGAAAGGACGCTTCTTTGGCGAAGACGTCATCTTGTGCCACGGCGTGCGCAACTACGTGGTGCGCACGCTCACGTACGTCGACGCGTACTCGCTTTCGCGCGACGACCTCGAAGCCGTGCTCGCCAACGGCCTTTTTCCGTTCAAGGCCAAGAAAATCCGCGTCGCGGCCGCCTTCTTGGCGCTGCGCCGGCTCATGCAAAGCATGCTCCACGAGCTCCGCGAAGTGCGACGGACGCGCGCGGTACCCCGGGACGCCGAGCATGCCTGGATGCGCCGCAACCTCCTCGGCGACCCGGACGAGCTCGACGACGAGGTGCGGCGTCACTTGCAAATTGCCATCGACCAGCTCCGCCGCGCGATGCGGCACTGCACCGACGTGATTGACGAAGGCCGCACCGCCGCGGCCAAGAACGCGTACGGTCTTTTTTCTTGATACTATATGATTGATACATTTGCGATGGTGTGCTTGTAGACCACTGGTCGCGGCGCACAACCGCGGCATTTCCATCGAGACGGCGCAGCATTTGCTTGGGAACGCGACGACACTTCTCGAAGCGCTGCTCGCGGCCAAGGCCAAGCCGTCCCCACATACGAGTAGCAACGCATAGTTTGGACACGTTGTCATGTGGTACAATACGACCAATATATAGCTATATATTGTATTGGATCAAGAGGCGCGGGCTCGACGCAAGAGGCTCTCAATGTCCATGGGGGCAAACGACCCTTTTGCCGCTTCGGCAAACACAACGTCGGCTTCAAAGTAGACGGAGAGAGACCCAAAACAGTAGACGGGCTTGCCACTCACGCGGTGATTGCGCGGGTGCGGGACAAAGTCGATACCGGCGTCCAGCGCCAGCGCTTCCAGCACGTCGCGAATGTGAAGCACATCGGTGGCGACAGGCACATCGCGCGCTCGGGCGGCTTGCTTGCCGCCGAGCACGAGCGCCTTGTCGTACGTACTCGCGAGCACGTCCAGCGACGGCAGCGTGCCCCGCTCGACGCACTTGAGCAGCTGGAGGCCCATGGCAAACTGGAGGCGGATGCGATCCAAGTGCCAGAGCGGCGCAAAGAGCGCTTTCCAGCCATGGAACCAGACGACCATCTCCGACACCATGGTCTTGCGGTCCTCGATTGCGGCGGCTCGCGCCTTCTCGACCCAGCGCCGGAGCACGTGCAGCCACTTGGAGAAGACTTCACCTTCGAGCAGCGCGATGAGCTGCCGGTCGGGGAGGAGTCCGTGCCACTGAAACGTCCACTGCAGCGGCGCGACATCGTTCGTCGATCCAGGCTCGACCGAGAGCTCGCGGTTCAAGCACCGGAGCAGCTTGCGCGCAATGGTCTTGTGCGTAAACACGGCAAAGTCTTCGGGGGTCCACACCGCCTGCCACGGCGAGAGCACGGTAAAGATGGACGCGTCGCGCGGGTGCCACTGCGCGAGGGCGCGACTGAGCGTCTCTCGGATGAGCGGGAACAGCGGCTTGTCAAACTCGTCCTTGAGAAAGCGCGTCGACCACGGAAGGAGCCACTCGTGCAGATGCACCGGGTCGGTTTGCGGGTTCCACGACCGCACGGCGTGCTGGAGCTTGGGCAAAATAGCAGCCGACAGCAGATGCGACACAATCTGCGGGTGCGCGAACGAGTCGAGAAACGCAATCAGACCAAGGCACGGGCGACGGACGTCCCACCGATGCAGCGCCGACGTGACGTGCGGGACGAGGACGACCTCGCACAGGTGCTGGTACAGCTTGTCGTGGCGCGTGTCGAGGTTGACGGCAAAAAGCCCGGCGTCTTGGGCCGACGGCGTCGCGACGCAGGTCGTCAAGCAGTCCCGCACCCACGTAAAGCACGATTGGAAGGCGAGCGCGGCGTCGTCGACGTCGTCCAGCGGGTCCCACGACACGAGGAGCGACTTGAGCAGCGGCAGACCAAGCGACGGCAAGACGTCAATGATGCGCTGCGACTCAAACTCGACCGGGTACTGCTGCCGGAGGCCCACGAGGGTGTCCGTAATGAGCTCGAGGCCACGGGGCGCGGACGCACCGGCCATCTCTGCGTGCAAATGCTGCAGTGCGCACCGGATCGCCGCCAAATTGGCTTGGGATTGCGCATCGGCGTGGTGCTTCTCGGACGTGGCCGATGCCGCGTTTTGAAGAACGTGAAGCCGCGACCGCTCGACGGCAATGCGCTGCCGGCCGACTCGGATCGCGCCTTCGGCTTCGTTGACGATCGTTCGGAGGTTGTAGAGGAGCTCTTGGCCGAGCACGGGGGCCGCGAGGAGCGACTGCTTCTGGAGCTCCGAGAGCCCGTTCTCGTACGTCACCACGTCGGGACCACGCATGTCGATGATCCTGGTCGTGGGCATGGGCGCATCCTCATCGTCGTCGTCGACGAAAAGGTCCTTGGCCGATTTCCGCTTGCGCTTTTTCGGCGCACCAAGTCGCTTGCGCCACGCGCCGTCGTCCGTTCCAAACACTTGCTCCTTGCGCGCGACCTCTTCTTCGTCTTCGATCGTCTTGCCGTGCAGCTCCCGCTCGACCTGCTGGTTTTGCGCGAGCGACGAGGCCTCTTTAAAGCCCGCGGCGCCGAGACCGAGCTGGTTCGGGCGCGCCTTGACGGCAACTGGCACTGCAATACCTTGCTCGTCCTTCCCGAGACGCCCTTTGAAGCCCATCTTGGCCAGCATCTTCATGCCAAACCCCTTGGTGTGCTTCTCCCACTTGCCCATGCTCGCAATGTTGGCTGGCGGCAGTATGGGCGCCCGCTTGGGCTCTGGGACTGGCTCTGGGGCTGGCGGCGGCGCTGGGGCAGACGGCTTGGTAGAGTTAGAGGCGCCTGCGGTGTCGTCTGCTGTTTCGACTGTCGCGGTACGGAACATGGCTGCAAAGTCCGTGTTGGAAAAGCCCGACCGCTCGGGAGGCGCGTCGTTGGGCTCGTTGTCGTCCATTGGTGTAGCGTCGCTTTGAGGGTTTGTTTGGTGGCTTTCGGTGGCATCGGTGTGGTCGGGCCGCGACGCCGATGTAAACATGGCGGCGAAGGCTGCGTTCGAGAGACCACTGCGCGGCGCTGCTGCGGGTTCGTCTGCCGCTCGGGTGAAGCCCAGCCCGCGCGGTGCATCGTTTTCTTCATCTGGCGCGTCATTGGTGTCACCGGACGAGTCCTGTACTGAAGCGGGAGTGAACATCGCTGCAAAGCTTGATGTGGAGTACCCGGGCGTTGGCTCGGCCGCGTCGGCCGCTGCTACGAAGCCAAGGCCTCCACGCGACGGCTTTCGCGTTCCGTCGTCGCCGCCCGGCGCCCGCGTGCGCCTTGGTCCACGAAGCATCGCGGCCGCGTCGGCGTTCGAGCGTCCATTGCCGGCCATCGTCGCTTCGGCCCTCACAACGCGAACGTGGTTTTTTGTATTTTTCACCTGATGCGGGATTTTATGAAATAGTGTGAGCTTAATATAGTGTACGACGTGGCCGCGCCAAAGCCCAGCCTTGACCCTATTAGCATCGAATAGACCGCTAAGAAATGCGCTGCTCTCCGCGCTTGCGTCGCCTTGCATTGCTTCTCTACTCATGCGCATGTCCATTCACTCTGACGTCGCCTCTCGGGACACACCGACATGACTCTGAATAGTGTGCTGAGCGAACGCAATCCTTACATACACTATTTGGAAAAATGTCGGGATGGTGTCGGAGCACAGTATTTCCATCCTTTTCTCTCGATACAAGAGCTGCATGTGCTTGTAACGAGGATAAAATTTGTATTTTGGGATTGGTTGGTTTGGTCCTGCTGGTCATTTCACCAATCAAAGCCAAGTGACAACGATGGCCCGGAAGCGCAAGCTGCAACGTATCCAGGAGGTCGGCGCCGAAGTCGAAGCCGCAATCCTCGAGAAGGGCGAGGCCACCAAGCTGCAGACGTACGACGATGAGCACCTCTTCGCCGTCGATACGGCCGGCTCCAAGGCCAAGAAAGCCAAGAAGGAGAAGGAGCCCGGTGTCTGGTCGAGCAAGGTGGTGCCGGCCAAGGCCAAGGCCATCGAAGAGAAGATCAAGAAGATCGCCGCCAAGCCGCAGCCCAAGGTACGCGCCGCGTCCAGCAGGACGATGGCCTCTCATGACGTGCAAATAGAAGCAGGCCACGGCGTCGACGATGGAGAACTTGTGGGGCAGCGATGGTGCTGCGATCACGACGACCGCCGCTGAGCGCGCGCTAGACCCGTACGTCGCCCCAGCCCTCATCAAGAAGAAGGCGGTACGATCATCGACATGCGTGCAATATCATCGTACTAATCGACGCAATGTAGGCCCTTGTGCGCAAGGCGTCGACCAAGTACAAGATCAAGCCCGTCGAAGTCGCGGCCGCTGGTCAATCGTACCACCCCGAATTCGAGAGCCATCAAGACGTGCTCGCCGAGGCCGTTGCCAAGAAGCTCGAGAAGCAGGCTCAGCGCGAAGCCGACCGTGCGCGGATCAAGAAGGGTCTCTCGGAGGAAACCAAGGCGTTCATCAACGACAAGGACTCGGTGCGATAAGCGACCTAGCACCTCGTTCGCTCATAGCGACCCTGGTAGGACGACGAGGACGCTGCGGAGAACTCGGACGACAACAACTCGGACGACGAGACGGCCGAGGGCGCCCGCAAGCTCAAGGTTCACGAGAAATACACGCGCAGCGAACGCAACCGCCAAGCGCGCCACAAGAAGCTCACCAAGGAGATTGAGACGCGCAAGGCCGAGAAGAAGCTGCTCAAGCAGATCAACACGTACGCGCAATGCTGCTATCCCCATTGGTCGCTGAAAAGTATCAACTTAGTGTCAACTCGATCACGGGCGAACTTAACAAGAAGGACAAGCTTGCGCGCAAGCAAAAGGAAGTCAAGAAATTCCTGCTCGAGAAGAAGCTCGAGGAAGAGCCCGAGATCCTCATGGGCGGCAAGAAGCAGTATGACTTGTGTGATGGAGGCGGGACGGTGATATTGATGTCGAATCCCGTGTCTAGGAAGCTCAACCGCGACACGCTCGTGACGCTGACCGAAGACCTCAGCGGCAACCTGCGCACGCTCAAGCCCAAGGGCTCGGTGCTCCAGGACCGCTTCGACTCGATGCTGAAGCGGAATATGATCGAGATTGGCAAGCCGAAGAAGAAGTCCCAGAAGGCGACCAAGTTTGTCCCCAAGCACAAGTACCGCAACGACGACGAGATCTAAGCGCGTTAGAAGACTATGTATTTGCACAAATTTCAGTTTGCGTCGAGTCCATCGTCGAGACATCGCACGCACGCCACGAGCCGACACCCACCGGCACTGTGTGCACCCTCGACGAAGAAAGATTCGGTCGACCGACTGCAATTCAGGTCGGCTCCACACCGCTTGCCGTCGCATTAGCGGACCGAGCGCGTCGCACCCAGAGATCGTGGAGAGATCGTGGAGGGACTGGTACTTCTGTGTACAGAAAATATATAGTCGAGTCTTGATCGCAACACGAGGTTGTGGCAACCGAATCGCTATCTTTAGTCCGCTCTACACCAAGTCTTTTGAGTCGGAGCGCCGATGAGCGACTTTAGCCGCATCACGATGGGCGATCCAGCGCCGCGCCGCGTACGCTCCAAAGACAAGTTGTCGGAACCGAATGACGACGCTCTCTTCTAGAGCTTCCAGCACGGGCAGTCGCGGCGCGTCGTCGAAGTGTCGTTCAACGAGTACCACATGCGCAAGAATGAAATCTTGACCAAGATCCACAACCGGTAGTCTCGCATCGCTTGGTTCCATTTGCAGAATGCGACGTCTTTAGACTCCTCTGGCTCTCCTTAGCCGCGATCCTCTTTGGCACGATCGAGCTCGTGCTCTACCTCGTACGACCTTTGGCCAAATTGTGCTCTGAGACTCCTTTGATGCTAGATTATTAAGTACAAACTGCTCGAGAGCAACGTGTTGTACCGAAAACCGTGCCTCGGCGTGCCTCTCTACTCGATCTACATGGTGTACTGGGCCGCCTGCGCGGTATGTTTTGTATCAAGCATGTATCAAGTGCGACGCGGACATATTAGGTCGTGAGTGCGCACGGCCTCCACCTCTACAACGGGTGGCGCAAACAGCTCGAGTGCGGCACGAACGCCGTCATGCACTGCCGCGTCTTTGAGATTTTGAGCGCGGCGTGGACCGGCATCGGTGCGTACGACAATACAATATTGTCTTATAGACGATCTTGTGTAGCGTTCTGGCTTCTCGTGAGCAAATTCGTTGTCTTTGGCGTCCTCGACCTCAGCGTGCTTGGCGCGAACGCCCAAAACATCGAGTACGCGGTCGCGACGGGAACTGTCTCGGTACGCGCCAGCTCCATCATGGAACGATTCGACATCTCGGCGGCAGGTGCATTTGATTGTCTGTCCGTGGCTCCTCCGCACGGTCCACTCGAAAACGACCCAGATCGACGACCTTTTTGCGTTCGTCGCGCATGATATCACCGACGCACTTTACATCGTCGTCATTGTAGGTCTGAGTTTTTGGGCAAAACCAGAATCAAGCACGTGGACGTGGCTCCTATGGTCGACCGGCTCGACGACATTGCATCCGCGCCCCCCCGCAACGACTCCGACTCCGACGACCATGGTGAGGAAAAAGCCGACGAGAGCCCTTCGGTAGCACGCTGCGTCTTCAATGTCAATTGTGTGGAACGTGCGAGGCGTAGGAGCACGCGTCGAGCGAAGACGCAGCGGTCGAAGCGACATCGTTCGCCCTCGATACGAAGCGGAGTATGAAGAAGGCGGTGTTTTGGGACCTCTGGAAGTCCGTCGACGTGGCGTACGACAATGATTTCCGCCCGAAAGGATAGAAAAGGGGGTATTGTAGGGGGTCGTTCTCGTGCAACTTTAAAAACACGCCGTCGGTGGCCGCGATCAAGGCGCACGTGACCAAGCACGGGTTCCACGTCGCGTCGCAAAACGAGTCGAAAGACGTGCTGGAAGTCTACTTGTACGCTCACGCACTTGGCGCCGAGACGCCGTTCGTCGCCGAATTCGTCTTTGTGTACTCGCGCCAATTCTTCCAGTCGACGTTCAAGTGCAGAGTGCGCCAACTTCCCTCAAGTCGTCATCGATTTCTGTGATTTGGCTTAGGACAAGATCGCCGCGGCCGAGTTTGTCAAGCACTTTCAGCTACAAGAGCTCATGGAAACATATGACGACTAACCGCCTCGCAACCGCGATATATGTATATCGTCAAGGGTCTCGGCCACGCATTCGAGACGTCGTCGGCGAGAGGGTTCATGGCTCTTACCATGTACTACTGAGCCCCCACACTTGCATGCAGTAGTCGCAAAGAAGATGTACCTAATACTTACTACAAAGGTACTATCCACTCGTTGTCTTTTAGCCTACTCGTACAATGATTGACAGTGGACTGTGTTGAGCCAAATGCCCGTCCGGAAATGTCACGGGTAGACCGCTGGGTAGACCGTGTCGAGGGCGAGAAAGAGCCGACGAAAGGCCACGTCGACCTGGACGCCGTCGAGACCTTCCTCGGTGAACGGGTCTTCCAGCGCTTTCTCCACGTTGAAGATGCCAATCATCGTCACGCTCGTCATCGCACTCAGCACGAGTGCAAACGCAAAGCTCGTGTGGCCGTCGGCCGACGCGATGATGTAGACGTAGTACGGACCGTAAAAGCACGGCAGCAGCAAAATGATGAGGCGACTGAACGACCGCGTCGCTTGCGGCGTCCGGTACAATTTGATGTTGCAGAGGCGCTCAAAGCGCGCTTGCAGAAACCAGTGGTACTGGTTCAGTCGCGACGCTTCGTTGGGCGGAAGACCGAGACCTTTCATGGTCTCGACCTGGAAATGCAGCTGCCGGAACGCCACCATCATGCGCTGGTAGAGTGTGTCGACCTGCGCGTTGTAGTGGACGGCCTCGGCCGCGCCGCTCTGCGTGAAGCGGTGCCGGCCGCGCGTGAACGTGGGCATGAGCAGAAACGTGTAGAGGTCCGTGAGGAGACCGCGGAGGAGCAGCTTGGCACGCGGGTTGTGCTCGGGCGGCAGCGCTTGGCGGCCGTTCTGGCCCCAGTTCCAGACCGTGTTGGCGAGGAGGATGTTGGATGCGATTGCTTTCACTAGGATATACAGTCCATCAACCTCAATGGACAGACAAGGAGGCGCGAACTCTCTGCGATGGCGTCGAGCGCGTTCTCGCGGCGCGTGAACGCCTGGCGGATCTGCATGATCATGGGCGAGACGACGGCGAAGGTCACGAGGATCCACGAGAGGTTGGCGCTAAAGTGCTGCGGCACGCCGCTGCTGTCCGCCGGCATGTAGTAGTAGTACGCACTCGGCGCACCGAGCGAGACGAGGAACACGAGGAGCGTATCAAAGTTGACGAGATGCGACCAAAAGATGACGCCAGCCGCGTACCAGTCGAGGAGCGAATCGCGGCAGTGTGCGCTGAAGCTCGTGTCGCGATGGATCGTGACGGCTGTGGCTTTGAGCGGCCCTGCCGGCGGCTTGTTGTCCGCGCTGGGGTCGATGATTGTCACGTAGTAGTCGGGCGACATGCTTGTAAAGGCGTCGTGGACGAGCGGGTCGGTCGCCCAGTCGTTGGTGCTGGCATCGCGGCTCATGGCGTTCTGCAGTCGATGCGCCACCAACCACGTTGTCACGGCAGTGCGCTTGCAACTCGGCGCAAATCACGCGCGTGTCGCATCTACAGTCCTACATCCGGATACACGATCTATGCAGTTGAAGTGCAATGTGGCCCATATGTTTTGACGTGTGCGAACCAACCAACGCGCTCCTTGCTTGCGCGATGGCGTGGCGGGTCGAAGGGTTCGTGGCGTCACCGTGGCGGCAGGATGTGGCATCGATCGGTGGCTCATAAGTATCCGAGCGTTGAAGCGCGAGATTTTTCTGTTTCCACTGTGTTGCCCGCGGCTGCAAACGATCGTTTTACAATGCCGAGCTTGGAAAGCTGGCTTCCTATATCACCGCAAAGACGTCGGACGAGGCGAGTTGCTTTGTACGAGGTTGGACAATATTGCGTGCGAGCGTGACGCAGTTCTGGCGTGTGTGAAACAGATTCTTGTTTCGACTTCAAACGCGCGCCAAACACCTTTGCTCAACTCTCGCCGCGTCCCATCACAGTTCATCGGTTTTCAACACAACTGTGCTGGTGCATCGAAGCTTGCTCCTCGGTCCAGCGTTTTCACGTTCACGGCACCTTCAGTGTCGGTTCAGATGTGTCTTCAGACCGCACTGATGGTCCTTGGGCCTTGTTGCTGTGGCAACCAAGGCAATCGCACCCAAGTACCAGGTCTCCATGCACGCATGAGGCACGAGGTAGTACCCAGGCGAGGGGCATCTACAACAGCGCTGCACTAGTGCGTTATCCGCAACCAGCCTCCATTTTCAGTCATTTTCACATCAAGTGGTTGTTATCAACTCGCATTTGCACATGGATACACACAGACGCTCTACGACGCATGCGTCGCTTCGTCCGAAGCCGTCTTGGCTTCGCTGAGAAAGTAGACGACCGATGTGCCTAGTCAACTGTGAGTATCTATCTACTAGCCGATCAAACGACGCACCACCAGTGGGCTGGCGCTGCTCGACGGCAGTCGTGGACATCGGAGGAACTGCGGCGTGGCGGCGGCAGCAGTTCAGCTTTGTCGCCGCCGCGTGTGCGAAGCGACGCTTGAGCACTTTGACGATGCCGTGCACGCACTTCGGTTTGAGCCACGCCCGGAGCGCCTGGTGCTGGAGCACATCCAAACCCAATTGAGGGCGCGCCGCGTCCGTGTCCCAGCCCACGAAGCGGTCACCGGACAGGCTGTGCGTCTCAAAGAGCGCGCGGATGAGCCGCTGGATATGGTTGCGGATTTCATCTTGCAGCGGCACCTGGTGAAGCCACGTCATGGCATTGCACTTTATGCATATCATACCGCGAGGTCTTGGAAGAGCCCGAGCTTTTGGTCTTGCTTGGCTTGCTTGAGGAAGCTTTGGACCACGCTCGCAATCGCGGGTTCGTACAATCCACAAGCGGCAGTCGCGACACTTTCGACCACCTAAACACAATCGTTGACCTAGATCTGAGAGCCGATGCCGTCGCATACCAGGTTAGCGGTCGTGAGCAGCGCGCGGTTGTCGAGAATAATCTCGTCGAGAATGTCGACGCGACCTGGTAGAAGCGGACGACTGAGGTATTCGAGCGCGAGCGCCTCGAAGCGTTCCGGGCCCGCATCCAGGAGCACCTTGTCGTCGTGGAGGAGCCATCTCGTGGGCGAGGCCCATTCCTTGGCCGAGACCGCGCCGAGGGCGGGCCACCGCTTGATGCTCTTCGTCTTGGCGTCAAGGAACACGTCGCGGGTCGCGTCGTTGGGCGACACAAACTCGATCGTGTGGGCGTGCGTCCGCATCTCCTCGCTGCCGTTGAACGCGTCACCAAAGAACGCAATGAACGACGGCGACCGAAGCGGCGAGAGCAGTTTCTCAATACACCCTTGCAGCTGCAAATCGTCCGTCTCGGCAAACAGCGCTAATTGCTTCGTGACCTCGCGAACCATGTAGCCCGTAAAGAGGCTCGGGTTGTTGACGACCGAGTCGTTCACGGGCTTGTATAGGAGGTAGCTCAAGACAGGATGCAGCCACGCGTACGTGTGCAAGAGCGCTTTCGTCCAATCACCGAGCGTTTGCTGCTGGAGGAGGCTCAGTGTGCGCGCGAGGTCGCGGCGCTGGAAGAGGTACTTGATGCGCTGGTGCTGCATTTGCTCCTCGAGCTGGCCAAAGACTTGGCAGCGCCGGTGTAACTTGGCTTCGTGAAAGTAGTTGAAGAGGAAACGGATCTCATACATGCCGGGCTCACTCGGTGTAAAGACGAGCATCCGCCCCGAGACTGGCCCCGTCCCGTGCGGCTTAAGAAACGCCGACGGGGGCACAATTTCCACCTTGGCGCACTTGCGCGTGTTGTGGATATCGCTCACTTTGAAGAACGCAATGCAGTTGCGATTCCGCGAATGCGAGAGAACGTCGTACTTGACGCCAAAGATCTCCCACGTCAAGTTGACCGCTTGGTTGGCCCACACGAGGGGCGTGTCGCTCGTGAGCCGAATGAAAAGGTCGAAGGTTCCGATCGAGACGGTGTTGGACTTGAACTTGGCCAGCGGCTCGTAGTCGCCGCGCTGCGTCTCAGCGATCGGATCGTTGCTGCTGCTCTTAACGTCGTCGTTCTCACAGCTCGTGTCGACAACCACTTCGTACAAGGGCGTCGTCGTGGTGTGCGAACTGTGGTGCCCCGTGTACTTGAGGTAGAAGAACTCGTAGCGTTCAAGGCCGTACTTGCACGGGAAGATGCCGGCACTGTTGCCAAAGACATAATCTTCGTGCTGCGGGTGGTCCTCGTGCTCGTTGCTGTTGGCCGGCCGGAACTTGACCTTGCCGCCCACGCGCTACGGATACAATGTGCCACGTCATTTTGGTCACGACCACTTTGTATGGCTACCCGCGTGTCGCGCGCGTTCTTGGAGCTACCCGCCTTGCTACCGTCGGCGTCGCTGACGAGCTGTGCACGGAACGCGGCTCGATTCTACATGCCACTCTTGATACGGTGATGTTTCTAATTGACGATACACCCACCTCGCGCATCTCGTCGTGAAAGATTTCCGACATTTGCTTGCCATACGGTGCAATTCTGTCCGAGTCTAGTGTGGCTTCCAGCACGGACGTGGCGCCGTGGAGGTTGACGACTTCCGGCGCTGCGTCCAACTCGGCGTCAATTGCATCCGCCGAGTTGGGCGCGGGTACGCGTGACGCCTTGCGCAGGCGCATCGATTTGCTCGAGAGCTTGCCGATCTCGTCCTGCGTGACTCTATCGAGATAGAGCGCGTGCTGGAGCATCTTGGTCGAGTGCATGCCACTCGAGAGTTCGTTGCCATGGGCGTTCGTGGTGGGGCGCCACCCAAACGGCTCGACGCGGAGATCCGAGACGCGCCGGTAGCAGAGACACTCGTCCATCGTGCGCTTTGCGAGCGCGTCGGTAAGCGCTCGTTTTGGAAACATGCCGATCGCATCGAACGCGTGGAAGCGCCGGGACGCATTCACGCGCCAGTTGACGGTGATGACACCTTCGCCTTCGTCCAGTTGGTCGCTCTGGATGACAAAGCTTGTTTCGGGCGACGCGGCAAGCACGATGAGATCCTTGCTGCCGTCGTCGTCGTCGTCGTCGTCGTCGCTCTCCGCCTCGTCACTGCTGTTGCCGTCGTCGTCTTTGGTGCCCAAGAGGGTTTGGGCTTCGGCGTCGGCTAGCAGCGCCAGCGATTTCACGTCAAGAGTGCTCTGCACCGTGTCACGCAGCTCGAGGTACTTTTTGTAGGACTTGAGACCTTGCTGGTAGAATTCGATAGCCGGCGCGATCGTCGCAGCGATGAGAGCCACGATTGCCTTCCACTGCATCGAGGCGCTGTCGCCTGCGGCGTTGGGGTTCCGGAGCGGCTCGACGATGAGCGCAATGACCATCGCCAGCTCCAAGACTGAGCTTCCCCACTTGGCCAACGTCGTGTAAAAGCACGTGTCAGGCAGGCACACCGTCGCCGTCTTCTCGCCGTGACCCTTTCGCGAGACGCATTCCGGCATCCATTGATGGAACTTCCAGCGCACATGCGGGTCCCGTTCGTTGGCAGGTTTGTCGACTTGGAGAAACTAACATTTCATGTCGTACAAAAACCAGTCCAGGTGATTGCGAGGCTACCATGCGGTTGAAAAAGTAGCTCAGAATCGGTCCTCGGTTGAGAATGTCCGAGACATAGGCCAGAAAGCCCACGATGGGAAAAGGCAGCCAAATCAAACTGTTGACCTACGAACATAGAGGAGTCGATACAAGGGTATCGCGGTCCTGGGGTGTACCTTGCCGTGAAGCGACATCATTTGAAGCTGCTTGATTTCGTTGTTGGGCTCCATCGGGAAACAGTTCTTGGCCCGCTCCTCAATGTCGTACGTGGTCCACTCGTGCTTCGTCCACGCGCCAAACGTCACCAAGATGCAGTTCCACATGGGCTGGATGACCTTTTGGCTACACCACGAGTAGCGCCAGTACCAATTGAAGCGGCAGCAGATCCGGTCGAGGCGCGACGACCGGTACGGCCGTAAATGCGGCTTGTCGTACATGTAGTCGGCCCGGCCGCGCCACCCAAAGATGACACCGAGCGCGCGCGTCACGGCTTGGAGCATGAGCACCGAGTAAATGTACAAAATGACAAACCAAATGCCGACAAAGCCGTACTTCAGCGTGAGCTTGTAAAAGTCATGGCGCCGATAATCCCGAAAAAACCGCTTCCCCCGCCCCGCAAACCAAAACAATTGGTACGGGAGGCAAGAGAGCCGACATTGCCACCGCGATTGGTACGGGAGGCAAAAGAGCCGACATGGCCGCGATGTTGGCGGTTCGACCAAGTTGACGTTGTTGGCGACAGCTGCTCGAATCTCGTTGGGACCGCCGCGGTGCGACAACGCGAGCCGGTCCGCGTCCTTGGCCAAGTCGGTGGGCGGCTTCCAGCTGTAAATGTCGAGCACAAGGAGGGGCAAAAGAAAGTAGAAATAGCCCCCCAGAAGTACCGCCGAGACGACCTGGAAGCCATAATTGACTTGCATGACCGGGCACTCGACGCCACTCGCGCTGTAGCGCGTGAGGCTGAAGAGCGTCCCCGACGACACGTGCTCCGAGTACGCGTCCCACTGCTTTGCAATGAACAGCACGAGAACCTTGATGCCAATCAAGACGGGGCTCACGAGGAGCGCACCAAATTGTTCAAGTCGATCTTCGGCCGCCCGGCCAAAGCTGAACGGGAGATAGTAGCTGATCTTTTGGACCTTGACGAGCACATCTTCTTGGATCACAATGTAGAGGAAGAGCGTCGTGAGCCACATGACTGCCCAAATGAGCAAGAGGCCGTAGCCTTGCCCGCAGCCGGTAAACTGGTCAAAGAAATCGAGCTCAACCATGATATAGTTGAGAACGTAGGAAAAGACGTAGTCAAACCAGCCAATGACGACCGAGACGAACGAGAGGACGGATGCGAGTGCGGCCGTGCAGTCGGCCTTCATCCCATTCAAAACGTCCTTGGAGTAACCAAATAAACTCGACGACGCGACGATGTTGGCCACGAAATTGACGTTGAACGACAAGTTGAGAAGCGCGACAAAGTACTTGAGTGCGGTGACAAGGATGTGAAAGGCCATTTCCGTGCACAAGAGCCGTCTCTCGGGGGCGAGAAACCACCATTTGCCTTCCTTCGCATCGATGTGGATGGGGAAAGGCCCGACGCGACCGAGCTCGCCGCGGGCGTGCCCGATCTCGGCCCCCCGCCGGACGTACTTAGCAATGTACATGCCCCCGAGGCACGGATCCAGACCGAATAAGCGCCGAAGGTAGTTTGTCCAGCTGCGCCAGTTGGGGCTAAGACCCACGAACGACGCGACCGAGCCGTCAATGCGACCACGCACGTCGCATATGTTGGCGGTGAAGTTGGTGACCGGCACCTACGAATCGCTTGAAACGTATCGACTTGATACTGCCGACGAACCTCACGCAACGAGAGCTTGGCATTGACCACGCGGGTTGGCTGTGTCAATTCGAGTTCTGTGCTGCGCGACTGGAGTTCGTCGGCGAGCTCTTGCAAAATTAAGGGAAAGAGCAGCCGAACGTCGCGTGGCGCCTTCTGGTACACGGGATAGCACTCTTCAAAGATGTAGAACCAGCGCAGCTGCGCAAGCTGCCAGAACAATGAGTACCACTCGCGCGTTGAGAAGATGCGCGAGAGAAGCCATCCATTCGAGATCTCGACGATGCGCAGCAGAATCTGGAGTTCGATCTGGATCTGGCCCCGCACGTGCTGCGACCGCTCCACGTTCATCGACTGGAGCTTGCCCAGAATCTTTCACCAAATGTAAGATTCAAGGTACTGCCACTTGAAGATGTACATACCTTGACGCGCAGTTTGTCGGCGGTCTCGACCACTGCTTGGGGCAGAATGATGACGTAGTCGCGAAACGAAGTGCTGGGGGGATGCGGCAGCTGAGCCGCCTCGCCCTGCAGCAGGCAGTCGACGCGCATGTACGAGCTGTAGGTAAAAGCCGGCGTCTTTGCGCCAGTACCCGCGCCTGCGATTGCAATCGTCAATGACCATGGAGAACGCATTTTTGGTCTCGATGAGGTCGTCAATGTTGGCTTGTAGTCCTTCGATTGTGGTTTTCAAGGCCACATCCGGTACCTTCCCTTCCGCGACAAGCGCACGCTTCTGTGCTTCGCATTGCTACGCCGTCCGAGAGACGTTATGAATGACGTTTGTGTCCCGATGGCATACCGCCAGTTGGTCCTTGCAGCGCTTCAAGTCGTCGCCCACTTGCTGTACTTGGTCCCGGAGCGCATCCTTGCCTTGTTCTTTGAGCTTCACAAGCACGTCGAGTCGTTTATCTAAGGCCTCGACTTCGGTTTGCGTGGCCTGCCGTACTCCGTTACACCATTCAATCGTAGCGTCTTGTACCTCGAGGGTGGCTGCCGGGTTCGACTCATGCGACATCAGTTGCTTCTGCGTCCGCAGCATTGCGATTGCGTTGGCGAGCTCGACCTCGTAGCTCGCGGCGCGCAGCCACGGCTCGGACACTTCCTGCACCGGGAGAGAGCTCACGATGGCCGTGTCCGTGGCGTTGTCGACGATCGCCATGGCACACCGGACCGTCTTGACGTCGACGAACGGCGTCGTTCCAAACACAGTGTGGACGCTGTTGACACCCACGTAGACGTGCAACGCTGGACTTTTGCCGAGAACGGAGCGGACCTTGCGGCCATCGATCTCTTCTTTGCGCAGGAGCACGAGACGGTACGTGCCGGGTGGCAGCGAGAGGTTGCGCGACGACGGCAGCATTAGCGTGCCGCCTTGCGCCTTGTCCGAAGACGGGTTCATTTGAATGATGCGCGACTTGTCGATCGCGGGGCCCGTGTAGAGCTTGAGGCTCGATTGGAGGCAGTCCCACTGCCCGCGGTCGTCATCGGAGTTCGTGTTCCAGTAAAACAAAAAGTGCGGAGCGTTGAGCACAAGCTTTTGGAGCTCGGTTTCGCGCACGAGGCAGAGCGTGTCTTGCTTGGCGACATTGACTTCGTCGCTCGTGGCCCACTCGACGTGCAGCGGCTCCTCGGACGGGTAGTCGAGCGTCTTGTCGGGCGTGGGTCGCAACGGTGGTGGCGGTCCGTCCTGGTTGGACATGCGGCGCCACGGCGCGCTGACTTTAAACTCGAATTGCAGCAGCATTTTGCCCGCAACCCGTCGGTTGCTGTCCAGTAGCATGACCAAATCGTCCGTCTCGAGGCTGTCGTTGTACAAGATGCTAAAGAGTTCGTCTAACGGCAGCGCGACCTTTCCAATCAGAGAGGCCGGCATGACGTTGTCAGTCGACGCGGCTGTACGTTGTTGTTGATCTTCCAGCTCGCGCACTTTGTTGTGAAGCTCCTCGATCCGCTTTGAGATCGCCGAGGTCTTTTTGCTTGCGCTTGAACTTGGAGAGCTCGAGCTGGATCTCGCTGTTGATGGACACTCGGTTCGCGTGAATGCGGTGCGTGAGATGCAGCTTCTTGTTCGTCAGATGCGCGCCAATCACACGCTCGGCGCGCTCGGCGGCCGCGAGTTCACGCGATTTACGGCTGAGCGCTTCGCTATCAGCTTTGTCTGGCCGCGCTTGGTGCGCTTGAAGAGCTTGACAGCGATGTGCGACTGTCGGGGTGCTGTCTGCTCGCGGTCCACGAACAGGCGAAACACATCTTCGGGGAACCGGACGACGCCTGCACTCGAGGCGTCCTATTCGTGTCCGCATCAGACGCCCTGTTCATGAGACTTTAAGCCCACCTCGGTGACGAGACGGGACACGGCGCGCCCGGCTTTCAAATCCACAGCGCGGACAGTGGGAGCATCCGTTGGTGGCTTGCGCGCTTTCTTGCCATTTGGTTCTGTTGATAGGTCGTGCGTGGTAAGTGTCATGTTGGTAGATGTTTTTCATACCTGGTGGCGGCTCTGGCGCGAGCACTGGCGAGTACGGGTTGAACTTCTCGCAGAGCTCCACCATTTCGCTCCGCAGCATGTCGTTGACTAGCATTTCAATCAGCTGACCGCCTTGACAGTTGAAGCGTCCTTTACCTTCGGTTTGCTCACGAAACTTGGCTGCTTTCGTCGCGTACTCGGCTGCAAGGTCCTGCGACTTGTTCGAGTCCCACTCCTCGTGGGGCCCACACTTATACGGCTCCTTGCGCTGACCCCGCAGTAGCTCGAGCGCTTTGCGTTTGAGCGTCGGGCCGAGCAGCTGGCGCCAATCCGCCCACGTGCGCACGACGGGCTTGAACTCGTGGTGCCACTCGTCCGGCGAGATGGTGTACATGACGACATAGTACTCGTCGAGTGACGTGTTGGTGTCGTCGTCCTCCATGTCCTCTCCGTCGTCGTCGTCCTTGCGTACCTCGCAGACACTTTTGACGCGGACATTGAGGAAGCCCCGGTCGCGCGCCGCCTACGAGGCGCATCACACGTGGATTCAACGATGCGCCGAGACGTACCGCAGGCGATGCAAACGTTGCTTTGAGCGCTTCTTCCTCGAAAACGATCTCGCGTTCTTCGACGACATCGGTGCGCTTGAAGCCAATGTCGAGTTGGCTCGCTTCTTCGGCAATGTCGTCCGTGCTCACGAGCGCGTCGAGCGCCTTGGCCGCGATCTCGTTGACGCGCAGCTTCTCGGGTGCGATGGCAGACTGCGCTTCGATAGCGTCTATGGAATTTCGTAGCATCCTCTTGCAGCGGTGGTTAAAGCGTACCGCCAATGTTGCGCTGGTGGGCCGTGGGCTCGATGGTGTACGCTTGGATGTAGTTCCAGTCGACCATCGCGTCGCGCACGGGGCCGAGCACATCCGAGTGGTACGCTTGGACAAACTCGCCTTTCTTCAGCCCCCCAGACGGCGTTACGTGGTGGCCAGCGACCGACTCGCAGAGACGGGTCCACAACTCTTCGTCCAAAATAATGTCCGACTTGCGCGCTTTGAGCATGTCGCGCCAATTGTCGCGCTGCATTTCGCTAGTCAGTAGACGTTGTTTGTATCAGTCTATCAACCAAATATCAAGACGTACCCCATGCGCGCAAATTGGTCAAAGAGCGCGGACGCGTAGTGCAACTTGATCCACGCCGCAACTGGGTTCATGTCGCCCGGTTGCATAAGGTGAAAGCCGCGGCCAAATGCATCCGAGGACCAGCAGCCTTGCGACCCCAGCCGCCACATTTTCTCTTGGAACGTGCGGAACGGAAGGTGCTGGAACGCTGCGCGGTGGAGTGCGCGCATGCTGGGTTCATGTAGCACCTTCACGTGCTTTGGCTCGAAGAGGTCGAGCGCCGTGTAAAAGAGTTTTTCGACCGAATGCGCAAAGATATAGATGCGCTGAATATCTCTGGGCGACACCTTCTCGCCGAGGAGCTGCAAGAGCGCGACAGCAAACTGCTTCTCGTCCAGGCCCGTGCGAGGGGCAGCGTGCACCCGGCGACACGCCGCGAGCCATGCCTCTTCGCTCATTTCGTGTCCAGGTCCATGGACGGTGGTGCGGAGGACGTTGGTGCGGGCGAGCGTCATGTGCGCCGTCGTTTTGTCGGCGTACATGTGGAAGAGCAAGTGCGAGTACTCGAGAACAGTCCAGAGATTGAGCGGCGTCGTCTCAAGCTTCGCGAGCACGTCGACGAGTTGCTCGCTCGCAATGCCGCTCCAGCCGCCAAGAAACGAATGCCAATGCTCATGAAGCTCCAGTCGCATGCGGTTGGGGCCCACAAACGTGATTTCCGACGGCCCCGCCGTGCGCGCAGCTGGTCCTTGGACGCCAACGAGCTCGAGCACGAGCTGCGTCCCGACTTCCAAAGCGCACTCGCCCAGCGTCACTTCAAAGTAGTGTGCGCCGGCATTCCAGTGCATCCGGGCGACGTCGAGTCCCTCGGGCTTGACAAAGATGGCCGACATCGCATCAAAGTCCGGTGCCCGCCAATCCGAGTTGGGCATCTCGATGGCAATGACCGCGTTGGTCTCTAATCGCGTGAGCACATCCAAGCTCAGCGTCGTCTTGAGCCCGCTCTGGACGTAGAACGAGTGAAGCCGCAAGAATTGGAGCGTGTACGGTGTCTGCGACTTCGCGCGTTCCTCCAGCACACTCTCAACGTCCTTCAAGTGCTGCTTCGCGTCCGACGACGAGAGCGCAAACGGCCGGATCAAGCTTTTGCGCACGACGACGCCGTCCGCATTGGTGTAGATCACGCAGCTCAACACATCTGCGGGCAAGATGGTCGTGATGCCTTTAAGCGGCGAGATGCTGGCGACGACCGCGCACTGGCCGTAAAAGTCCGACGTGAGCGTGATTCCCGAGTCGCCTTGGTCGACGCTCAGCGTCTTGGGCGCCAACGACGGGTCGGAAAACCGACTCTCGTCCGTGTGCACAGGCTTGTTGACAAACGCGTCGGTGACGAGGCGCTGCCACGGCGTCCAGTCCGCATAGAGCTTGACGACTGTGGCACCGTCGACATGGGAAATGTCACCGGGCCCCGCGACGACCGACGGCGGGCACGCAATCCCATGCAGTACCATGGTCAAGTACGAGTGGGAGGCCAGGCCTTTTGGCCTGTCAGTGTAATCGTGACAATGTCATCCTCGATGCTGGCTTCGGGCACGAGCTCATATTGCAGCTGGGACTCGAACTCGACGCGCAACCGCTTGCTGCGTGTATCGAGCGGCGAGTACCCGGGAGGAAGTTGGACTGTGAACGCGTCGCCTCTTTCAAGTGCCGCGTACGTTTGGAGCACGACGCGGATGCCGTCGGTGGCTTGGAGATTGTTGTAGTAGACTTCTTGGCGCAAAAACACAATGCGCTGACTGCTGCTGCCTATGTGACGCTGTGAGCCAAAGTCCTTTCTACGTGTGTCAGTACCGTGGGTGTCGAGCGCGGCTTGCATCTCGCTCTGGCGCGTTGCCTCTTCGGCCTCGGACAAGGCGGGCGGAAAAATGGTCATGCGGCCGTCGACGCACGCAACGATATCGTTGAGCTGTATGAGTGCGTGCTTCTTGGCTTGGCCGTCAATGGCGCGGATCGTCATGCACTGGCCGAAAAAGTCACTTTGCACTTGGAGCCCGATTGGTCCGAGCTCGTCAAAGGCAATCTCGTACATCATGAGGTTGTTGGCTGTGTGGATGATCGTGTCATGGGGCTTGGTCGGTAAGCGCACGTCTTTGACCCGGCGCTGCGGGTGCAAATTGCTCTCGTTCGTCTCGTCGTGTAGCGGGTACGTGTTGGCGACTTGAAATTTCTCGAGCATCTCGCACCAGTCGTCGTCGTCGGTTATGGCTTTCTTCCCCGACTTTTTTTTCTTGGGCCTCAAAAACGACGACGTCTCGGGCTCAGACGTCGCTTCCAAGAGCCGATGCAGCGTCTCGCGCGAAATTACGTCATGCTTGCTAAAGTGCAGTTGGACCTTCTTGTTGGCGACGCACGCATGGACCGCGTCGCTCGGGTGGACGTGTGGGTGGCAAAAGCCCCGCTGGCTTCCGCGCTGGTTGGCGCGCAAATTGATGTGCCACGCCGCGGCAAATTGCATCCAGTTCATCACCGACTCGCTCGCTTGCACACTCTTGCAGAGCATCTCCCACGATGTCACGTCCAGAGGTGCGTCGATGCCTGCATCGCGTCGAAGTGTTTTGAGGTTCTCGAATGTCATCGTGTCGCCTTCTGTCGCGTACCGTTTGAAGAGGTCCTTTAGAAAGTGCACGAACGCTTCCATGCGAGTCACTTCTTGCGCAAGAAGCAGCTGCGGCGGCAAGTTCGTCGAAGACGACGTCGGGCCAAAGAACGGTGGTGGGCCAAAGAGCTCCTTGAACTCGGCCTCGGCCACAGACTTCTTGTCGTTGCTGCCCAGCGCGCGCATCGCCGACGTCCACTGCTCGTCGGTCACCTCGGCTCTGTGCACCGCAAGGCGCAGCCGGTTGAACGCGTCGCGGCTCATGCTCTCGGTCGACTGAAACCATTTGAAGAGCCGCCGGAGCGCCTCGGTGGGCGGTACGTGCTCGTAGAAGGGCAGCGTGGTCGTCGCGACGGCGTCGTCGCCTGGCGCCCGGCGCGGACTCAGCTGCGCGGCGGCGTCCCAAAGCGCTTGGTGCACGCCGAGGTCGTCGTCGTCGTCCATCG